TTTGTTAAGATTAAGGCCATTGGAAATTATTGCTCTTATTTTCATTTTTGCACTAAAAATTCATTTTTACGCACAAGAAAAGTGCGTCAAAACCAAAAGTGTTCAATACCAATTTCATCGATGCGAAACAAGTCGATATTCATAGTCGACTCTTGCATTTAAGATTGTCTTAAATATAGTCTTAAGATGTCACAAGTCAGTTCGAGGACTGTATTAACATCTTAAAACAATATTTAAGACAGTTTTAAAATAAAAACGGCCTATGAATACAGTCTCATGTTTAGCACAATTGGTAGCTTATGAACAATCCATAGACGGGGAGGACAGAAATTTAGAGACACTGTCCACTGCACACTCCATGTTATCCCTTCCACCATAGGTGAGGGAAATAGTGGAAGGCGGAGCCAAGTCGAAAATCGGCTGAGAAGTGCAAATCGTGTCGAGCTCTGCTTTACAAGATTGATTGAAATATAATGCTAATTGGGATGATAATGGTGATAAATTTGCACATGTTATTTGACATAGAACCATATAAACCGGAAAATTGAAACTGACAATAAAAACTAAAATGAACATTTTTTTTAAAAGTGTAATCGCTGCTTATACTTTTGTTATATCTCTTTTTACACATATTTTTCATAATACAAAAATTTCTATTTCTTTGAAGAATATAATTATAAACATTTCTTTATACAGAATCATGTTAATAGTAAGATTAATTAATTTTGGATATATCATAATAAATATATATATTTATTATAAATATAATTTATAGTATTATAATACAATAAATATTTCTTATATAAGACATACAAAGAAATAATGTTTTGAAAAAATAATTATTTTCTACAAATATTTTAAACATTGTATCTCAAAAAACTTGAGATATCAAAAAATGTTTCGTACAAAAGTTTTATAATAAAATTATTTGTGTTCAACCATGATTAATGATATCTTAAAAAAATTATTCAAAAAAAATTTATTTAAACTTTTAAAAATAATTATTTTTAAAGATATTATTGACGTGGGTAAATAGAAGATAATTTGATTATAAAACTTTTGTATAAAATATCTTTTGATATCTCATAGTTTTTGAGCTAATAAAAAAAGGTAAAACGTTATCTATAAAGATTTCACCTTTTAAAACCATTTTTCTGCCGCAACTGATGTTTTCTAAATTCATCCATGCAACCTATATGTATGTACAAAGTTTCATTAAAATCAGAATTTTACACACTTCGCGAAATTCCTTTATGAGCCACACAATTCCTACATTGACACTTGCTTTGTTGCGCTTATCATATCTTACACAAGACTTTAATTATTATATACAAATTATGTTTAATATATTATATGTGAAATCTATATACATCTATATATAACTGTTAGATACATACATGCACACACATCTATGTATAAAATACAATATATATATGTATATATACACAGTAATAAATGATAATATTAAGATAACTCCTGTATGTACATATGTCAAAAACTTAATAAATTAAATACCGTTTATTATGTTTAAGATAAATATACTATACTAATAAAATCGTTATATTATCTACATGCTATAGAAAGAATTAAAAATACAAAATATTTAGTTTTTCTATTTAAAAAAGAAATTTTGGTAATTATGCACTTTAAGGAGAGAGAGAGAGAGAGAGAGAGAGAGAGAGAGAGAGAGAGAGAGAACACCACGCCGATGACTTTGACATATGTTGTCAAGATCATAACCCTGACCTCCAGCAGGTTTTAGATGGTGATCGCTGTTCGTTAAAAAGTTATAAAAAAAAATTTGGAAAATGGCGCTTTTCACTTTTCCCTTGGCAGGGGGAGGGAAGGTGGAATGGGAATCATTTCGCATAGAAAGTCGTGCGTCCCTGAAGGAGGGAAGTGGGATGAAAGTCGCTTCGCGTGGAAAGTCATAAAATATATTTTAAAGCAGAAATTTTCCATTTCATATAGTAGAAAAGAGACACCATTTTTCAAATTTTTTTTGTTAATAACTTTTTAATCAATAGCGATTCCTACCTAAAACCTGCTCAAAGAAAGTCACTCAGAATTATGACCTTGACAATATATTATATGTCAAAGGTCAAAATCATCGGCGCGGTGTGCCTTAAAATACATAATTGCCGAATCTTTTTAAAATTCTTGCATTTTTGCAGTATATCAGAGTTCTCAAAACATACGGCTCATAAAAAATTCACAAATAATGGTTAGAAATAAGATGTAAAATAACAAAGTAACTTAATGTGTTTACAAGGTTTTATTAAAGAATAAGAATGATGAATACATATAGAAAATAATAGATAATAATTCTAATCTTTGCACATATTACAAATGTGATGATGTGAGATATGTACATACAAGTTTTATGTAATATATTTCTTGAATTTAATGTACTGAATGTAAATTTTATGTGCTTTACGATATGAATTCCGCCTGCTAAAAATGCCAATTATTATATATTCCAAACAAGTGGGAAACAAGCAAGATATCAAGTTAAAGAAGAAGCTAAGTATTATATTGTGCACTTCTTCGCAAAATAATTATATGAATTATAATACATTTAGTGGATTATTAATTTTATGTGGATTATAATACATGGCGCTTGGATAAAATCTAACTATAAGTTAATCAGCTAATGAAAAATCGGGCCTTATACATATACTCGTGTATACTCGTCATCGTTTCTTTGCAATACATTTCGAGTGTTTGAAAGTGCAAGAAATGGGCAAGAACTAGCTAAAAACGGTCCATACGTGTAAAAACGATGAAAATTTTTTATAAGGGTTCTATAAAGTAATTTTCCCAACCCTGTGTAATAATATGGAGTGTCGATGACATGCAAATCATATGCATGTAAGTCCTATATTACATTAGTAAAACAGCGAAAATTCCCGTCGGAATTCGATCTTCAGGGATTCTAAAATCGGTCTGTTTTACTGATCAAATGCAATTATTTGTCAAAATGTTATTTTTTAAATCGCCTTTATCAGATTTAAAAATCCTTTTCTATAATTAAGGAAATTTTTCCATAATTAAGGGAAAGGAACCTGGGGATCAAAATTTTTTCTGCTTTAATCAGTAGTACTCTCAGAAAATATATTCGTAAAGTTTTAGAGTGAATTCGAAATATTTTTGTAGTTATAGCTTGGGAAATAGGTATGCGTTGCGCAAGTATACGGCGCGCGTGACAAAAACGTTGATTGTGCTTCGTTTTTTCGGTCCCTAGCAAGATATTATTAACCTTGGCAGATGGTTGTTTTAGAAAGATCTTTTAACTAGATGTTTAGGCGGACACATGCAAAACTCAAATTCAAATCTTTAATTCCACCATCTGGCGGCTCATTTCAAAATAATTAATTCTGAAAAACTTTAAACGCGTTTTTTTCAAAACCACTTTTTCAAAATTGATGTGTAAGATTATTCAAAGACTTTTCAATCAATCGATTTCGTAAGGTTTTTTTAGTTACATAATTATCAATCCTAGATAAAAATATTTATTTAAAAAATTATAGCATAAACAATTTCTGCATAAATAAATCGAAATTTTTTGATCAAAATCATTACTTTTTTCAAAGTAATGATTCCCACAATTCTTACAATTTGATATCTTTTTGCTATTTTTTTAAATCATAGATGATAAAATATTATCTAATTAAAAAAAATTTTGTTTTTTTGTTTCAGGTAAGAATTATAGAAATATAGGTTCTGAACTACACGTCAATTTACAACTCCGGTGATAAAGCATAACGATTAATAAATAACTTTATGTTACAGTCATTATTTTTTATTAAAAAATTATTATATTTTATATTTTTAAAATACACAACAAATCATCCCTAAAGTTTTGGAAAAATCGACTTCATAAAAAATTTGCAGAAAACAGCTACTTTTCAGCGTTCTAAACCAAGTTCCCTCCTAAGAGTATAGACACAATTTAAATTGGTCGAAAACAAAAAAAATCAAGAAATTTTTCTGTTCCACCAACTCCTAGTCCAAAACGGCGTCTAGAGCTATCAATTTGTGCTAATATTTGCTTCGTACGAAAACTCTATAGCATATTTGTACAAATTGTGGAAACGGTTTGAATTGTGGATTATTATGAATAAACAATGTTGAGTTCTTAAATTAAGACTTACATGTTTAATATGAAAGATTAATGTCTTCAAAAATTTGTGCGTACGTATGCGTGCAATATTGATGTAGTAATATGTAGTAATGTATCGATGATACATACATCATATCATGTGTAAGTCCTAGTGAATCGATAAAAGTGATCTCATCGCAGTTTGGTCCTCAGTTTAGAATTCTTTTAATACTGCATACGTAAAAAGGAAATTCTGATCCATACTGACATAATATAATTGGAGCATATTAAATTAAAAAGTAATATAACATTAACAAAATATAATATGGCAAAAAGATTATAATCTTAAAACATTGAAGATTATAATTTGTCTGCCATATTATATTTTGTCAATTTTATATTGCTTTTTAATTTAGTTTTTGTTTGATTATATTACGTAAGTACAAAAACATATACTTCCTACGTAATGCAATATTAAAATAGATCAAAATGCTTTTTTTATGTATTATTATATGGAAAAGAGCTATTTTCAAATAGATACATCTAAAAAACAAAAAATGATATCGAAATAAGATACATTTTAAAACTGAAAGTTATTATTTTTGCATGGCATTAATAACATTTAAAACAAAATTTTTTTTTGCGAAGCTATATAATATATCTATTATAAAAATTCTCAAAATCATTGTTTTTTTTTATCTCTTTAACGTCATTTTTTTCAAAATTATGATAGATAATTTCGTCCAATAAATTCGTGTTCAACAGACAAAAATATATTAGAAAGAACTATTCATACTTAAAAAATTATATTGGACAGTGTATAATGTGGCTGAAGATTTTAAGTTCAAGAATGTATTTTAAGTCTCTAAAAATAGATGAAATATTATAATATTCTTACTAGTTCAAGGACGAGTTCGCATCATAGATGTATTAGTGGCAGGAACTGGATTATTGGAGGAAACTGCGAGAGCATTACGGTCGAGAGTATTGCGTCGTTCTAATTCAGCCAGTTTCTTCCACATCTCATCCCTTTCTTTTTCTTTCCTTTTCTCTCTGTAATTCAGACATATACATGTAAAGGAATAATATGATTAAATCTTTATTCTTCATATAACTTTAAATAAATTTTATTGGACTTTTAATACATACAGCATTAAAATATTAAAATTTAATTAAAAATTAAAATAGATTAAAGAAAGTTTTGTTTGAATTTGATAAAATATAAAAAATTTTTTAAATTTGGTCTTACTTTTGCCTGTCCAACTTATAGTTGGCAGTAAGTTCATCGAAGAGCTTGCTGTTCATCTCCATAAATGTTTTTAAAACATTGTAAACAAGAGCTATAATCGTCTGGTTCCAATGTTCCTTGCTAATTTTGTACAATGCTGGAAACATAATCTTCATTATTACTTGGTTGTTTTCTTCAATTAGAGACATTATATATTCGTTATTCCAAAAGTACAATGCTCTCTCTGCAACCTATAACACAAAATATGTAATTCATTATTTCACAACTTCACGATGAATCCGTCAAGATTAGTGTAAAATGTTGTATAAATTACCTGGAAATGTGGTGAAGACACGCAACGTGCGACTTGCCTGAATAAAGGTTCTTGTATTTTAACAAATTGGTTAGGTTCTATAACGTCCAATATTTCTTCAATTTCACCAAGGAACATCACCTCCTTCTGGCTGCACGTTTTAGGCCAGAACTTAAGGAGGCCTCGTACAACTGGTTCTGTTAAAGTCGCGTCTTTTTCCAAAAATTGTACCACACAGTAAGCTAATTGCGCATGATAGAGCGATAAACATTTCACTTTATGTAGTGGCAACAACACCTAAAAAAATTCCCACAAAGATACTTTTTAAATCATTTTTCTTGTCTTGAGTTCTAAATTTCGTCTCTTCTCTTCAGGGCCGCCGCAAGCAGATGTGCAAGTTATGCACTGCATAAAGGCGCATTAACAAAGGAGGCGCCAAATTAAGTTTTAATCCTCCATTTACAATCATATTTTTTCTCTTTTCCGCAATTTGAATTTTTTATTCAACTCATTTTTTTTACTGTTCAGACTTTCAAAAAATGTGAAAAATTTCAGAATTACTTTTCAACATCTTTTACCCAACAAAATTCCTACTAACAGGATATTTTAAGAGGAAGAATTGAACTTCGCTCTCCTCTTTATTTCGGAGAAATTTGAGAGTAAAACTTTATTTGTATCAAAAAACTTAGATTGTAAAAGCAGGATTAAAAATCAATTCTCCATTTCTAACAATTGCATGCGCATCAGGATACCGATTATTTTTCTAGAGAAATGTGAAAATTTCTCTATTAATTTCAGTAAAAATTTTCACTTTTTATATTTCCTTTCTAGAAAAAAATAACGTGATCAAATTGCGCCTTGCCTAAAGACATTTAATAAAATTATTTAAAATTATATCTTATTTAAAAGATCAGTAAATAAAAATACGAGAGGTGGGAAAAGCTCCTTTGCATAAAGGTACTTTATGTATTAGCAGCGGCCCTGCTTCTCCTAACAATTACATAGGCCTGCAAAAATGAGACTTTGGAAAGTCCAGTGAGATGTAGTTTGATCACAATTTGATTGACCAAACAAAAATTGACAAAAATTGACGTGCTGGAAATTTTCGGCTTGCAGCATTCATTTCAGCATTCAAAAATCTATTTATAACAAATATCTAGTTTGATTCTAAATAATTTTTTACTCTAAACTAATTTTATTAATGTTGCTGCAACGTTGAAACAACATTGAACAAATTATTATCTGTATTTAAAATACATATTTCAGATATTGAAAAGAAATAAATATATACTTTTATTAAATAAAAAATTTTTGAGCATGCAAAATTCTGAGAAATATATATATATATTAGTATATTAATTTAATATATATATCTATAGTAATATACAGTACATTTCAAAAAAGTAAAATTAATTTTATATAATAAAAAATATCAATGTTATATTTTAAAGTTGAATTTCTTCTATAATATATCTATTGATCAAATATTATATGTTACAGCTATATACATCCATTAACATTCAGTGTTTGTATAATTGCAGAAGTCAAGCAGCGTCGGTTGTGGTACAGCTTTAGGATAGGTGACCACTTCGAAACCATAAAATTAATTCCTGATTTCAGGAGGAAATTTTTTTTAATCATAATTTTATGTGTATTCTGAAATATGATGCTAATCAATAATATTTATTTTAGCGAAACTAGATTAATTAATAAATGAAAAATTTTACCGATGAATCAGTAAAATCTACACTGTATATATGTACATTAAATCAATGTTGAATCAATGTTAAATTGCAACGTCAGTAAGATATAAATTCAACGACACCGAATATTTCTGCAATATATTTTCAATGTTGAATCTACATTTTGTGATGTTGATGCAATATTCAACATTTCTGAGAGGTTGATTCAACATTAGTGGATAGGATGTGTACAATAACATATTTAAAAATCTGAATCTTTGATGTATATTTTCAATTCTCTTAATCATAAAAATGTAATCGTACCTTTACCAAAAATTGCTTGTGCTCAACTTTTAAAGGAAGAGCGAATCCATTAATAATGCTACCCAGAATTTCAAGAAGTTCACCAACCCCGTTGAAATGTTCTGTTTCGTACACAAACCTGAAATAATAATAAAGCGAAATATTAAACAAATATCAAAATAAAAATCTTAGATGTATTCGTAAACATTCATCCTTGTTTTTTATCAAATATTAAACAAGGATGAAATGCACGCGAGAATTGTGAATATTAAATGGACGAATGCATCGCTTGAAAGAATTTAAAGTAAATTGATAAAAATTATTTTTATTATTGCAATATTATGTATAATTAAACAATACAATATTGTGTACAATTAAATTCTCATTAGAATTTAATATAAAATATTTCATGTTGTAATATATATAAGACATTTCGTTTCCAAACTGTACATCGACGCTACTCAGATGGATATCCCTAGTGTATAATCGGTCACAGAAAGATTGCAATACTTTTTTTCGATGAGTTTCAGAATGTAACCTACTCACCGAGCAATTGGTTTTTATTTATGAATCCATGATTCAGAGGTAAGATACTGTAACTTCTAACGATTACTTTCTCGAAGCTAATTAGACATCTGGGTAACTTCCCTTGTAAGAGAAGCTGAAAATTATCTGCATCGTTATGCATGCGATACTTAATTTATAAGAAATTCATCATATATGTTATTCTTATGATATCCTGCACGCCGTGATTACCTAGCGGATTGATTAAATAAGAGAAGAGCGTGAAAAATTGATTCCTAACAGTTACTAGACAATCTGATTAGATTAAGAAAAAAAAGATATGCGTAATGAAGGACAATTGAGACAATGAATGATCAATACGTTATTAAATTAATTATAGTCTTACACAATATATTTATCTTTGCAATAAATAATAAAATAATAAAAAACTATGTACTAAGTACCTTTCATAGTTTAGAACAAGGTGATCCTGATTGTTCAGAATAGTATATTTTTTGTCACATTATTTGTCTCATAATAGGATTCACCTAAGTTTCCGAATATATTTAAATGTTCCAAATTTATAACTTTAAAATCATATATTAACTTAACCTTCTATTGGAATATCTTCTAAAAAAATATTATAAATAATATCAAATAAAGAAATGTTAATCATGTCGGTATCCGTGGAGAGATGACACAGTCAAATTCAACTTGTGTCGACTTGTGTTGTAGTTGGAAAGCATCGGATCATACATTGTGTTACACAGTGTTGCCTGTGTCGCTTATTGGAAAGCATACATCTTTTATTTTCTAAACATCTTAGTGTCTGATAGAGGTACAGCTTTCACCTCGCGCAAATTTTCCGAATTTCTAAATTCTAAAAACATCTATCATCGTGTCTTGTAATCGTTGCAGCTCCGTGAACCACTGGTTTAATTGAAAAAATTAATCAATTTTTTAAATAATATCTCTGAAAAAATTTATATATGAATCAAAGATGTAGAATCTCAGTTCCGATATGAAGCAATATGTAATCAATAATATATATCATTCATTTCTTAAAACATTTTTAAATTACTAGGATATGATCAGTGCAGTCATTCCGATTCTGATCTGTTAAGTGTCTTAATCAAATTGCTTAAGTGGATTTCAACTGTGATAAAGAATTGTGTTCAACTGTGAGAAAATACATACACATTCATGTAGAGTTACGCTAGAGATGTCAGATAAGATTCGAGACTACAATAAAATATGATAAGAAACATTTAAAAAATCAACGAAGTATCACGTTAATACTACGTAGTAATCCAAGACTCTACTTTGAAATCGAGCGAAGATAAAGAGTTTAAAAACAGTTACAAAAATCCGTGTCTTGTATCAAAAACTTTCAACAATAATCGTTGTGTAATTCAAAATACTCTTAGCTTCAATGTTGCATCCAAATCTTACTTTATTTTTTCATTGAATAAAGCTGATAAAATCAACCTAGTTCCTATTCAACCTAGAAATTAAACTAAAATTCTGTCAGATTTAAATATTGCTAATGTATCAAAGTTTAACACACACATGCGCGCGCGTAGTAGTAGTATTGTGTTAGCCATAGATCGACATGTAAAATCAATCTAAGTCAAAATTCGTTTTTTAAGTTAAACTTCGTTTTTTTATTCAGCATTGTTTATTTTAGTTATATTCGAATGAAATACAAGTTCAGAATAGCCGATCTGTAAAGAATGCTATTGTTGCGCCATATTCCTGCGCGTGCTGTTGATACCTACCAACGGATTGGTTAAATAGGAAAAGAGCGTGAATGATTGGTTCTCAGAAAAATTACTAAACAATCTGATTGGGTTAAAAGATGAAGAAGGAGAGTCGAAACAGTTTTTGAGTGCGCACAAACCGAGAGAGAAGTCATTCGTTACTTTGAGTACGTGGTGCTTATATGTTCGGCCCGTCTCATATACAATACTGTATTAATCGTTAACATTACTCATTCTGTTAGTCTGACTTTTCCTTTTCCCTACCATCGTCAAATCTTTCGATAAAGATGCTAATTTCCCCGAAGAAATTCTTTTCCCTCTGAATAAATACATGATATACTGAAATAGATATCTAAATGACTTTGAAAGATGCATCGCTACTATAGTGAAGGCGAAGTAGCAGATGCAGAAAAACCAAGAAAAGCCAAAAAAAGAAATAGAAACATTCCAAACTATCTATCGAGATCTAAAATCGATCGAAATAATATATGTCAATATAGCGACATCAAAAGCTGATAAAGAATCAATATATTGATTCAATTACTAAGAAAATCATCATCAGTAAGGATATCAAATTCTAACTTTGGCAAGGCTCACTTGTTAAATACATCTTCTAATACTTGAAGGAGACCTTGAACTACAGGATATGTTATTCAAAGTCAAATAATGATAAATTCGGTTTTCGAATGCGAACTTTCGTACAATAATAGTGTGTTTAAAGTACAATAATAGTGTGTAATCAGATTTTTTCAAAAGTTTTCAAAATTTGCTCACTATGTATTCCAGTTTGTTTTTTCTATTGTTACAATGTAATTTTTACATTCAATGAGTGAGAGTGTAATAATAAGACATTTCGTTTCCAAACTGTGCGCATTGTCAAATAGATATCTCTAGTGTCTCATCTTTAAATAAAACACTCATTTTTTAATTACACTTTATCATCTATTACAGCTTCCTATAAATTCTCTCTCTATCCACTTTCAATAACTCATTAAAATAAATACCTCAAAAAAATGTTGTTAATCTGTTTGCGTATGAAGGCTCTAAGACCCAGGAACTTGCCATAAATACGGTGCAAAACGGTTTTCAGGAAATCTCTTTCTCTGGGGTCTTCCGAGTCAAACAAGTCCAATAACTGTAACAGATAATTATAATCAGATATATTTGTATATTTATTAATTTAATTATTAATCCTTTGTGTCATGAATTTTTGTATGAGACTGAATTTTTTGAAATTTTGCACCCGATTTTTTTGGATCATTGATTACGAATCAGAAGTCAAAATTTTACAATTCAATGGCGATCCAATATAGCGGACTAATAGTTCAAATAATTTTTAGTAAAATATATAGTATATCATTATTTGTAAAAGTAAATTATTTAATAAGAAATAGGTTTTAATAATGATCATAAATTCAGATGCAGCCAAAATATCCAGTTTTAAAATAAAATTAGATAAGTTGTGCTAGCTTAACATAACTCAAATGTGTAGTATTGGTCACGTTCAGCAGACTCAACTATTGTCGAGCAGATCCGTGAGCGCTCGCTGCTATTGGTGTATTCTTTTAGATCATCCAATAGCTGAGGACCTTGAAAGTGTGCTGACTTATGCTATGCTAGCATACAACTTAGATATACAGTTTATATTATTTGTATAACGGATATAAATATAAGTCTTAGTTGTATTCAGAATTGTCAAAAATTATACAGAACGAAATTAAAATTTTTTAAAAGTTAAACAGTCTACAAAAGCTCAATAAAATACAAATTTAAATTTAGAATATTTATACAAGGATCAATGAGCTAAGCACGCTAACAGTGCAACAACTGTTTTTTAATTTACAATTTATATTACATCATTGTTCCAAATTTCAGTTCTCACAGAACCATCCTCAATAAACACATAACTTATAAATACATATTAATAACTGGTCTTGTCATTGTCAATTGAAATGCTCAATTATTATTGCAATTCCTACTCTGATTATATAACTTGGAATAGTGATCCATGGGACTATAATACTGAGTGCCAACAAGTTCTTTATGGTATAGAAATATGGACTTGAAATTATGTTTGACATTCTATTTAGAAGTTAACAGATCGACAGAAACATTGAGAACATTTAGTCTCAATGTTTCTGTGTCGATTTGTTAACTTCTAAATAGAATGTCAAACACAATTTCAAATATTTCTATAACATAATGAAATTTATTAACATTCTCAGTATTATCCACAAACTTCTATAAATAGACTGCCAACTTCACCTTCATGTTTGAAGATAGCGTTGGGCAGCATCATATTTGAGTTCTCTCACTTACACATGTATAAATTACATGGATAAATTTATTTTCCATATCAATAGGATATTCACAGACAGGACGCATATAGGTACTAAAACAAGGACAACTCGGAATCAGGTTCATCTCTTTCTATCACATTGAATCAATCTATTTATATAAGTCTGTGGTATGATTTATTATATTTTTAAAAACGAAATTACAAAGTAGCTTTTTAGTACGTTTTTATCTTCATAAGAAATGAATTTTTAAAAATTTATGTCAAAATACTTCTTCTATGAAACAAAATATGGTACAGAATACGTATTTGCACTGTGAATGAGGTGTAGAATAAAAACAGAGAATATGGAATAGGAGGCTACTAATGTGAAATAATAGCTTATTTTCTAAATAAAACATTGCAATATAGCGGCAACCACTGGAAGTCATTGCAATTGCTGCCAAACGTGTCATAACAAGTAATGAGTTCAGTACAACAAGGCATTTTATTATATACAATAAACATTTATCCATTTTCGTTGCGTCAGGAGATCCGGCTTTTTCTAAAAAATGTTCTCACACTTAAATAAGTTAATGTTTATACATACATAGACGCTTTTAATAATATTGCATGAACAATATTATACTAATTAATTGCAATTTCTAACTTGTTTGCTACAGGAAGACTTTGTTTGTCACATGAAGATATGCAGGTAATATGAAATACATCAAGGATTGAGAATATGGAATAGATTCCATATTAGCAACTTATTCGTTATTAGATTAGAATGTATTCCATATTACCTTGCTTATTTGTGATTAGGTTATAAGTGTATTCTTTGTACAATGGTTTTTTATTTTTCATAAACCGTCATTTTAAGTTATTAACAATAAGTAATAAAATGCAAATTTATTTATGAAGATTATATTCATTTATGTAGACTTTGAAATATAGAATAAATATTCAAATGGAGAGAGTAACGCTGATAACCTTGACCTTGACATATATTGTCAAAGTCATGATTCTGAGTAACCTCCAACAGGTTTCAGCCATCGCTCATTATTCGGTAAAAAGTTAGTAATAAAAAAGTTTAAAAAATAACATTTCATTTTTGCCAAAAATAATATTAGGAACTATTCTCATACCCTCTCCTGTTTACGTAATGACTTTCCACGCGAATCGAGTTTTACTTCACCTCTCCTTTGCCAAGAGACGTACGACTTTCCATGCAAGGCAAGTTTCACTCCATCTCCTCTGCCTAAGAAAACACGACTTCCCATGCGAATGGAGTCTCCCCCCCTCCTTCTGTCAAGAAGCATAAGACTTTTTATGCAGATAGATCTTACTTTGAGTGGAAAATCGCACGGCCCTCCTGCGGGGAGGGATTGGTGGAGTGGAACTCGCTTCGCGTGGAAAGTCGTGCACTTCTACGGGGGTGAAACTAGCTTTGCATAGGAAGTCGTGCGCTTTTTGGCAGAAAGGAAAGTGGGATGAAACTTGCTTGGAAAGTCATTATGCCCTATACTGTAATATTAGAAATAAGACAATTTCTTGAACTTCTTTTATTAATAACTTTGCAATAAACAACGAGCGATAAAAACCTGTTGGAGATTACTCAAGGTCATGACCTTGACAACATATGTCAAGACCAAAGTCATCTGCGCTGACTCTCTCCATCTAAACTTTACCATATATATACAGTTTTAAATATTAGGTGTTGGAATTAATTCGTAGCGTTTTACAAGTGATGGGAAGTACTTTCATTAATGTATTTTTTAATGCTCATGTGAAATAAATAACATTCTTTCATTAAAAACGCTACGAATTAATTCCAACACCTAATAGTTTATATCTTTATTATACAATTGAAGCAGATAGAAAATATAAAAACTTATTGCACATGGACAATATCAAATTTTAAATCTTATATTATATTATATATAAACATTATATCACTAAAATAAATATTAACGTTCAAAAATATAATATTTTGATTCTTCTTGTGAATAATAATGTTTGTTAGATACTAATATTTATTGTACGTAATAATTCAATAATTCAAGATTTAATTTTATTCTTTATTTTCCATGCGTAATGACGTCGCATGTCCATTGATATTTTATTTTCTGTATGGTATTGTAAAATAAAAATGTAAATTACTTTTTACTATATTTTAATCGATTTACATAAATAAACGAATTTGGACTTAATTTATTTATTGCATTATTTATTACTATTAAATTTGACCAATAAATATCCCATATTACATTCCATTTTTTAGACTCCCCATTTTCACACTTTTTATTTTTTTGTTAATACTCATATTGGACTTAATTTTGGCAACTTTTATTTATTAGATGTTGTAGCTAACATATTCCTCAAGAGTTTTGCATTTTAAAGTCTTCATATCATTTATGTTGGAGTAATATTAATAAAAAAACGAGATTCCATATTCCCTTCTTTTAATCTATATAAGTTAGCCTATCATTCTTATCTGTTAAAAAGTGTAATATGTTAGAGAAAGATATTGAGAAGCAAAATTGTAATACTTTACCTGTAACACGAATTTTTGGTCAATAACTTTTTTGCCAATAGCAGGCTGGAAATCTGAAGATTCGAGAAAACGAAGGAAGACTTCATAGACCAACTGAAGATGAGGCCAACTCGCCTCCAGGGTTGGATCATCTTCTTCTGGATCAAAATCTGGGTTTTCGCTAGGTGGCAATGTACGGAATAGATTTGCAGAAACCTTTAACAAATACCATACAAAAGATTTTTAAATGATTTCAAACTATATTTACACAGCAGTAGCATGAAATAGTAATAATAAATTTTATTTATTACGTTCATTACTACACGGAAAAAATAATGTATTAATTAATAATTATAATAATTATAATAAATAAGCATTAATTAATAACAGTCTAATTGAAATAATTTTCTAAATACAAAGGAGCGCCACTTGTGGTCAAAATTAGACGTTAGATTAATACATATAGTCTATCAGGTAAGTGGTCGAGTGAATTTATTAAAAAAGTTATTAAACAAAATTTTCAAATACATAGATATGCATTGTATCAGAATAAATATGCATTATGTTAATAATGCGTCCAGTCACCTTCGGCATCGATAATTGCTTGACATCTCCAAGACATGCTTTCAACCAAATTGACGATTGGAATACTAATAAGAATTTCCAAATCTAACGAATAATCTGGTAAGATAATTGCTTCAAAATGTACGTGCATTTTCCGAAAATGTTGTGCTTAATGTATGTTCACACATTTTTGATAGAATTTATGTCGGGCGACTACGACTAATGTAACGATGCTAGATTGCTTATTCCACTCGGTACAGAATTTGCTGCGGTGTTTCAGAGCGCTTAATGTATTTCTCTTACAAAAAATTGAAAAAATCAACGACAACTGAATCTTTCTTAACAGTGCATCAAAGACAAAGGTTCTCTCTATCAACGAAAGACTTAGAGCGATATCTCTTACCAGATTTGTGAGTAAGGTCGACCCGCTCTTACTTGATAGACTATATATATATATATATATATATATAATAGATTTTAAATAAATTTATCTCGACTGCAACCGATTGCTTTCGATCTTTCAATACAATCAATCTGAAAAATAATAATCCCTCCAAATTCAATTAGATCTACTAGCATCTTAAAGCCTGAGAACTTACTATGATAAATATTTAGTCATTTCTGAGATTTTATTTGATAAATATTTACTTTAAGGGAGGTTCCTTCGATGACAATGATCTTTACATATATTGTCAAGGTCATGACCTCTAACAAGTTTTAATTGTTGCTCGTTGTTCGTTAAAAAGTTATTAACAAAAAAAGATTTAAAAAATGTTTTATTTTTTATTTCTGTCAGATACAATATTCAGAACTATCTCATACCCTTCTCTACTTACGTAATAACTTTCCACGCGAAATAAAATCCATCCCACTTCCTCCCCTGTCTAGGAGCGTATGACTTTCTATGCGAAGTGAGGTTCACGCCACCTCCTCCCTCCCTAGGGATGTTCAACTTTCCACGTGAAGCAAGATCCGTCCGCATAAAAAATTGTCTGTGCCTAGGCAGAAGGGGAGATGGGGTGGACTTCGCTTCATGTAAAAAGTCGTATGCGCCTAGTCGGTCCATTCTATACATCTCCCCTGCTTAGAGTCATCCAACTTTCAATGCAAAACGGAGAAATAATTACGAACTTTGATTATTAATAACTTTTTAACGAAAAACGAGCAACGAAAATAAAACCTGTTGGAGGTCACTCGGAGTCATAACTATACAGAGTGAGGCATTTAAGTGTTACGAGCTATTATTCCTGAAAGTATACGTCAAATCAAAAATATGATCAGACAAAAGTTTTGTGACTTCGAAAGGGACATAAGATGATACTATTGATTTGACCTTGAATGGCGTTATCAAGATAAAAGCAAAGTTACTATTAATTTTTTAAATGGAACGCCCGATTTTTCATTGCGTTTTCAAGTAGTATACTTCAACAGCTTTTCACTATGATGGAATATTTTTTCGTTAAGTACTTTTCAAGTTATAATACTTGAAGGCTACAGTACCGCCGGCATTAGCATTACGCAAGATGTCCGATCGATGATTAAAAAAATAAATAAAATTTCTTAAATGTTGTTCAGAATCATGCTTCAGATAACATTTGTTGAGATCAAGACTATTGAAAGTTCCTCTTATTTTCATTTTTACGTAAAAATTAATTTTTAGTGCAAGAATAAAAATAAAAGAAACAACTTCTAATGGCTCACAAATGTTATCCTAAACAACGTTTTAGCCGTTGGTCAAATACCTTGAATAATACTTTAAATGTTTGTAACACTCTGTACAAGAGACTTTTCCGATGATCTTGACTTTGATAAGGTATAGGGTAGAATAGAGTATTATAAGCATCTTAAGGAAACATTTTGATATATTTAACATATTAATGAGAATAAGAATAAAAAAATCTTGTGCATACTATTTGATAAATTTGTTGATGTTTTATGTATTTTAGTATTGAAATTAATTATTTTAATGCAAATGTTGAAATAGTGGCGAGTATTCTTACTACCGGCCTAGTGCTCATATTACCCTTTAGGATAATATGAGCACAGGAATTTAAATTCTTTATTAGATAATTTAAATTTTTTTTTAACTTTATTTAAATATCTTCTTAATGTTTGACGAGAAACTTCACATTGATGAGCCGCGGACTTCTTTGCTCATTTTCTACAACCAAAAGCACAGCCTTCTTTATGTTTGCTATTTAATAAGTATATTTAATACTTACTAAATATTTTTAAAAGTAACATTATTTTTGGTTATATTAACCAAACATTGTGAATGTTTGAGAGATAATATTATATCTCAAAACACGAGTGTCTCAATGCTAAGACAAAAAAATTTTTTTTATTATTCTTTAGTTGAAAACCGCTTTACATATGAGGAGTGATTTCTCCGTTAAAATCGTTTTTAAGCCGCAACTGATATTTTCTAAATTCATTTATTTACGTAATCTATATGTATATACAATTTCATCAAAGTCAAAATTTGACACTTCGCAAGGCTCTCTCTCTCTCTTTTGTAAGAAATTATTATACTTATTTATTTTATTAAATAAATCGTTTTATTAATGTTTCATTAATTGCAGGATTTTTTCTAACCAATAATGCTGACTTAAAAGAGAAATTTTATCGAGGCATCCAAATCAATAATTAATAATGCATAAGACTGGGAGAGTCAACGGACTTTTTCGGGAAAAAGTAAACAGTGCATATTCAAATGTTATAATGTTAAAAAAAACCGAATCTTATAATACAGTATTTAAGGTCAAGATTATATTAGGTGATTTTAATAAAAATATAATTTGAATATAATCTTATAAAATTAGAAAAATGTATTCTTAATAATCTTAATAAAAATATAATTATAAACCCCAAGAGTTTTATTTCAAACTTGTTTTTCTATTTTTCTTAATTCCCGAGATATTCGTCTATTGGCGAATAATAATTCATAATTAAATCTAATTCTACATTAAAAAATATACATTTAATTTTTTTATATAATTTTAATATATACTTTTTCAAATATTCATATTTCTAAATTTAGAAATATTGTGCATTTATTACATCAAATTCGATTACGTAAAATCATTGTAATTGAGTAATCAGATCTATGCCCTGTTGCCTAATCAGTACCTAATCCGGCGACCTGATCGGTGCCTAATTCGACAGCCTGATCAAGACTATTCGATACGTGGAGTTATCACACTAGGGCTCTATTAGGGCATGTTTGGATCTGAACCGGATCTGGAAGCAGAGCAAGCCATACGTGGACCTGAGGAGGTTTTACGAAAATTTTTAGTTGCTCTTAAAAGCATTTAATTTTGTAATAGTTATTTTTTTATTTTTATTTATATTTTGGATTGCTAACTTGGCATGAATCTTAACACTCTCACCTTTAAACAAATTTGTACTAAACTGCTTGAGTACTAAAAGCAGGAATAAAGCACTAAATTAGCACCAAATTAGCACCAAATTAGCACTTAATTTTAGTATATATATTATTTTACTTTTCAGTGACGGAAGTGCTAACTTGACGGAGGTCACGCCAGCATCCCCTTAATACATTATTTTTTCGTGTAGATATATTTATACATACATTAAAAGCATTATTCAATACAAAAAAATAGAATTCTATTTTTAACTCTAATAATTTTCTTATATTTTATCATAATTCTCTTATTAAATACATACCATCTTGATAGTTTCTGGATAAATAGGCTCGGTGAGGACACCTCGCCCTGCTGTGATATATTCGACTAATTCATTGAGCGTACTTCGTTTAATTTCCTTGCCTTTGAGATCAGCCATTGGGTCCATGAAATCGAACGCCACGCAACATTGACGTAATTTTTTGATAAACAATTCCTCCTGCTCTGCAGCGTTAACATCTGCAACAAATAAATAGTCTTAATATAACTTATAATTTTATACATTTTAAATCCCTTCCGCGACAATCCTCCTAAGTGTACATTATAAAAAAAAATACCAAAAAAAATTACAGAACCAACATATCCTCTTATCCGGGGATGTTTCTCGTTATAAATAATTCATTCATTATATATGCAAAACGAAATCGGAGAGCAAAGTGCTAGGTGAAGTATTTTTAATTCTCTGCTGCAAGAACTCAATAAAATTTATCATTTCATTTGCTTCTAAATTTGTAAGCAAACAATTTAATTGAGCCGATAGAAACTAGAAGCGTACAAGTTACACAAGTCACGAGAGAATAGGATGATCGAATGCTGAAATGATTGTACAAACAAATTATAATATGATGTGCATCTTTCAACTAAAACTTTTCGACGAATAATCTAAGATTTTTATCTCTTTAATTCAACTCTGATTCGTTTAAAATTAAAATGCAAGATTTCGTTACTCGTTAATACATATCACAGAAGTCTCTTATGGAAAATACTTTACGATCTTAATAGACAAAATATTTTTGCTTCTGTCAAATTTTCACCGATAAGAAACGGATTGGTCAAAGATGAACTTAAAAAAAATTGATCAATGAATTTCATATTTATATTTTTAAAGACTTCGATCAAATTTCAATTAACTTAATCGGAAATTAACCTATTATGTAATATTCATATCTACTATTGTTAACATTTATCTACTTTTGTTAACATTTTGTTAAGATTATTCATTTTTTGTTTAATATATAGAAACAAGGTTCAAGACAACAAATTATATTATATAATATAATTAGACATTTTTCTTTAAATGCTACTGCTAGTTGAATCAATTACTCATTAAATTAACTGGAATTTAATCAAAATCATCTTCAAACATTATTTTAAGAATAATTTTTTTTTATAGTTGTAATAATAGAATTTCATATACATTCATATATAGGATGGGCCGAAAGTTCGGATACAATCGAATATTTTACTAAAAAGCGAATTTTTGTTTCACACAAGTATTATAGGGTTTGAACAATGTATTGAATGGCGAGACTTATTTGACCTTGAGTGTAAGTATAGAGGAGCTTCCAAATTCAATTTTAATATTTTGAATAAAAACTCTCACTTTTATTCATTATTCTTGTCAATGACGTTAAGATCTTTTCGAAGTATTATATTGTAATTTAACTTCTTTTAATCTTAATAATATTTGTCAAACTCAAGATCATTGCAGGTTGTTTCTCTTATTTTAATTTTTACGTTAAAAATGAAAATGAGAGCAACAATTTTCAACTTGGTTTTGACTAATGTTATCACTATAAATAACATTCAATAGAGAGAGATTTTAGTCGTTGGTCAGAGGATCTATGAAATTAACACAACATTATTGTATATTAATAAAAATAAAAAAAATAATAGTTCCAGTAGCACTTTTTCTCTTTCTCTCTCTTTTCATAATTCTATAGTTCTATATAAAAATAAAAATAAATTTCGCATATTTTATATATAAAAATCAAATATGAAAATATGTGCTAATTTTGCGAATCTAGCATGACAATTTTTCTCTAAAATACAATACAAGAAAATGATAAATATTAGCACTTACAGCAATAATTCCTGATAGTTCTACTAAAGATCTACTAATATGCATTTTGAAAATTCCAATAATTTTCAATTTTTATACATTTTATATACAGAAAACGCTTTTTAGACTCATACTTTTTGACTCACGTATAATGCCTCACAATCCAAGCAATTGATCTTATAAATGACAACATACACGGGACATACTTATTGTCTAACAAATCTTTACCCGTTGTTATAAATTTTTTAGCTTATGAAGAATCGTAAAATAAATTTTGTGATTAAGTCTTGTAGAAATCGGAATATATTTTTCGGATACGGAGTTAATATAAGGGATGGTAAAGAATGATCTCTTCCCTAGTAAGTAGAATCGTCAGTATACTATAGATAATTTTATTGTTACTGTAGAAGAGCATTTTAAGTCTTTGTATAATTGTGGCAAATATAAAATATTGAAAGAGTAATTATTTTTATATATAATATTATATTTTATAGTTTTAATAATATTATACCCTTCTTGTAACAGGATTGTTGAAATAAAAATTCAAGTATTATATTTACCTGAAAAGATTTGTGATACAGATCGAAAATGATCACTTTTTATCAGTCAAATATCTAAAATATTATTGTTCTTTTTGACTTCCATTGTAAACCATTGCAATTTTTCATATAAAGAATTGAAAGGATCCAGAACCGTATTTTTCAGAGCAGAAAGCAAAATGTCGACATATCTTATGAAAAGAAAATTGAAAGGATAACAATTTTAATGCAGAGATTTCTAAGTTTTGCATTACTAGATAAATAATAATTGATAACAATGGAGAACCCATTGGAGTATTAAATAACTGCTTATCAACCTTGTTAAATATAAAATAAGTAAAGTCTAATGCAATGTTGATTGCGATTAAAAATTCTTCTAAAGAAATATTCGTATTTTATAAAATTAAATATCATCTTTTAGTAATATTTTAAATGTTTTTCACTGCTAAGTCTATCAGGACATTAATGAAAAGTGAAACTACATCCAATGAGACTAATCAAATCCGATCTCAATTTGCAATCATTCAGTTTTGACCATTATATAAAATATATTATTAATTTCCAATTCTATAAATACTAGCTACATAGTAGCTATCAAGTGAGGTTTGAACTTATTAAAAGACAAATAATCAAAATTAATGAATTTTGATACAAATAAAAAGCTCGAGTTTATAACTGTGATACATTTTTAGAAAATCATAACATTTCTTTGCCAATTAGCAATTTTGTAGAGTTTATAAAATTTGATAAAGAAATGATAATAAGCTACAAGTGAATATACATATAAACAAAATTTAAGTTTATTTATTTGTATTCCAAATTGTATATATTATGTCAATAAAAACATTTTAACATTTAAAATGATATTCTTAAATTGTTTCCAAAATTGCATACTTAGAATTTGTTTAGACAAAAATTGAATTATTATTAAATTATTAGTGAATATGTTTAAAAAATTTATAACAACCCAAATTATAACAAAATTCACAAGAATTGATAACAAGTTTCTCATGTGTAATATGGCTGTTTTTAATTGCAATTGAAAAATAAAAGTGTTTTTAATATTTTTCCTTTACATACACATTATAAACCACATTTCATTCAATGTATACTTGCTAATTTCTTTTTCGATTTTTTTTCTTGTTATAGATACAATATTATTTAATAGAAGTATTGTAGAGAAAACTGTATCAGAAAGAAATTTTAAGCTGCTTAGGGAAAATGTTATCAAATGCTCAAGATTGGGATGAAAGAAAATAAGCAAAACATATGATAACTGCAATATTACTTTAGGATTTAACATGTAGTTTGCCAGAACATGAAACAAACATTATTATCTTTATTAATAAATAAAATCACATAGTCAGTCCATCAATGTATTAAATGACTTATGGCTCCTGCAGACAGGACACAGTAACGCTTGCTGCGCGGCGGAAGTTAACACAGTAACCAATCATTCTTTCGTTTTTATGAAAAAGCGATAAACTGATTAACTCTCGCGCCAATTTCCGCTGCGTGGCAAAAGTTGCCGCATTCTGTGTGCAGGACTTATTACTGTCATCAGAAGAGCAAGAAATTATATAATTCTTTTACAATACTAATACATTATAAATAAAGTTCGCTCATATTATGCAAAACAAAAGCTCTATAAAAGCTAGTAGGATGAAATCAGTAGAATCAAATCCTATCGAAATTTTTAGTACTAGGATTGGCAAAGACTAATGTTTCTTTTTCTTTTTTTTTTTTAAGAATAAATCATTATATTTCTTCTAATATGTTTTTAAAATGCTTCAAATAGTACTATAAAAAAAACATGTTTAAAACATATTAAAAATATGTATATATATATATATCAATTAAGCATATTTTAAACTGTTTAAAACATGTTAAAAATATGTTTTTTACTCTGTTTAATACTCATTTTATACTGAATTGTATTATTAATAATAATTTTGTGCCGTATATCATTTAGAAAAAAATCATAACGTTTGCATAAACAGCGTTTTTTATGAATTTCTGTAACTTACAAACGTGAATAACTTCAGAAAAAAAATCTCAAATTTTTTTCGCGAAACACGCCTCATATTTTTATCTGTAAAATATATGTTAGCAAATTTAAAAAAAAAATAAAATGATGTTTTAAAGATCCCCGGTTTGACACATAGAATGCCTCATAGATTGTAAGTATAATAAAGTCATTTTACTATGATAAAATCATTTTAAGAAGAAAACATATAAAATATTAACTTACTTACTTTCAATAGCACAAATTAATACAAACTCAATTGTGTTAATTTTTGCCCTTGTGTTCTTTTTTTTTTATAATCCTGCCAGCTTAAATATTAAATTAGCAGCGCCACTGTTTTCTTGGAAATGACACATAATATATTATAGAATTGTTTTTAGTAGTACAAATTCAATCCTATTGATTTCTGATATTATTTTTCTTTTTTTCTTTTATTTTGAATTAATCCTGCCAGCTTATTAATTAAGCTAGCACCGCCACGATTTTTTTTCAAAATAGCATACAGTACAAAATTATCATTAATAGTACAAAATGTATACAATGTAATAGTATACAATAGTATACATACAGGAAATAGTAGCGCATAAATCGAAGATATATTTTGCATAGTTAGATAGCGTAATTTTGCAATTTTTAACAACTTAGGAATGAATATGACTGTTTGCTCCAAAAGGGAAATCCCTTAAGAGTTGGAGTGTGAAAATCCTCAGCGCAGAAATGCAATTAGATAATTTTCTTTACGCATATGTTTATGAGATTGCAAGTTTGTGATATATCAGATATTAGTCCAGCGACCTTATGCTATGGTTGTGCAGTTTATGTCATATTTTGTGTGTAATAATATTCATAGTCGGTTCTTATATTTTACGACTGTCTTAAATAATGTCTGATGCTAATACAGTCCTCTGATTGGTTCATGACATCTTAATTAGACTGTATTTAAAGGAATCCTAAAGCCGTCTATATTGCTGACTAAATCGTAATTTTTGTATAACAATTTGTATAACTTTTTTCATTTTTTACAGATTCGAAAATCCTTTTCTAAAATTTTTCTTAAGATTTCAATTTTAAAATTTTTTGTCGATCTCGACATAAACTCCACCTCACAGACATGTATTAATGAATATATTTTAATTCTGGAAAAGGATTTTTGAATCTGTAAAAGAGGAAAAAAATAATTATTATACAAAAATTATGATTTTTAGTCGGTAATACAGATAGTTTTAGGATTTCTCTTGGGATTCCCTTAAGATCTTAAAAATATAAGATCTTAAATAAACGATCTTGAATATAAGATTCAACTATGAATACCGCCTATAGCTCTAAGGACCATAAGTCAGGATCCGCGTATATTCTGTACACGTCTATCGACAGTTGTCGGTATCGTTAAATAGCAACAGCCAATAAGAATCGCACTTTTTTCCTAGGATCGTCCTTGCCATTGACTATTATTAGTTATCGACACCGACAACTATCGGTATAGATGTGTACCAACGTATATGGACCCTGATGATAAAATTACTGCCAATTATTCCAAAGATAAGTAAATGTTCAGTATAGCACCTCGCCCCTTTTGATTTTTCTATAATTTTGTAAATTTGTGTAATTTCATGCGCAGAAATATATTTCGAGAAGGAAAATTATCGCTCAAGTCTCGTTTTCTTATTATTTAAATTAACAAGTTTGTTAATGTCGGTAAGTTGGAAAATGATAATTTAATGATATTTTACAACTGCGCATGCTCATTAATGTATATTTATTTTTCCCTGCTTTAATTAATTAAAAACCATAGACTTCTATAAGTCTGTGGTCTTTATATAAGTCTGTGTTAAAACCATGAATTTTTTTTAAGTTGTAATTTTTGTATAATTAAGTTGTTAATTTTTTATTAAATTGTTCAATTACTAAATATCTCATTTTATACTTAATTTATAACTTAACTGATATTATTATTTTATAAATATCAACATTAATAACAACATTAAATTAAAAAGACACTTTAATTATATTTAATTCATAACATCAATGAACATACGCAGTTGTAAAATATCATTAAATTATCATTTTCAAACTTGCCGCCATCAAAAAACTTTGAAATTAAATAACAGAAAACGAGATTTGAACGACAATTTTTCTTCTCAGAATATATTTTGAAACACATGAAAAGACATAAATTTATAAAATTACAAGAAAATCGAAAGGAAAGGCGCTGAACATTTAATCAAAGATATATCTACTTAAGCCATGTCGCTCACGAAAAAGTCCACTAAATCCACATAAAATTGGAAACTTTGTCAAACATTCTCTGTATCGCCTTTCTCAGCAGCATGATTTTACAGATTAAGAATCCTTCATATTTTATTGTTTTATTACTAAAAGATAAAAGAATGTTGAATCAAGATACCGAAAGAAACGAGTCGACGTATTCGCATAAAATAAAAGACATCAAGTGACTGAATGAGTTTGCACAAATTTTACATAATTCCTTATAAGATCATGGCAATTTTTGCTTTTGACATTTCGTTTAAGTTTCTTTAAAATTTTTCTCATCTCGCTTCCCATAGAAAATATATTGCAGTTTTAGTTCAGAATAACTAATAGTAATTATATATTATATATATATATATATACATACATACATACACACACACACTTAAAAAAATTATATCTGTATTATTTTATATTAATTTACAATAAAATAATATAAATTCTTTCTTTAAAAAGAGAAACAGTTGTTATATTATGTATAAGATAGCCAATTTATACACTGGTTTAGCCAAATATATATTAACTCAACATCAAACATGTAAACTTATACAGCTTGCCCATGACTGATATTTTTCTCCAAGTGTAGACTAACCTTTAAGCAAAGGCAACTGCTGAAGCTCAACATCCTGCGAGTTGCGATAGCGGGAGGAGCCCTGCGACTTCTTGGATTTCTTCTTGAGAGATCGCTTGGCGAAGGGATCTATCCTGTCGACGAAGGCCCCTGACGACATTTTGGCATTAACAGAGGCACTATCCTGGTGAAGCTCAAACGGGAGCGCTCGCGTCTATTTCCTCTAGATGTTTTGAACCTTTCCGCAGACAGCGGGCTGGTCTCACGACTAAAGACCAAGATCACCTCCGCCCCGAAGAGGCCGCATTCCGTGGCTGCGACTGTGAGACGAATAACACACTCTGAACTCACGAGGAAATGAAAGAAAGGCACACACTGTTACCACAATGCACGTCACGCTTTACACCCGATCGCATCAATTCTTCCTCTTTCTCTCCTGTCTGTTCTCAGTCCACGCGTTCCTTCAACATACCTTACCATTCACGCTGTGTACCGAACAATGAGAGGAAGTAGCAGAGGTAGAGGATGATGATGAAGTATATTCTGCCAAGGAGGACGTTTGTCGCGCATAGCACACGTGGAGAACTCGTTTCCTCCGGTAGATTAGATCGAGAGAGCTCGCTGATCTCGCCGTTTCCGAAATCTTCAATTTCGTTCACGTAGTACTTGCTCTATCGAACTTTAGCCGGCTTCCTGATCGTCGCTATTATCGTCACCGGGAGCGCGATAATCTCCAAATGGCTAGGCGTTGTCACATACGAATGCACGCCCGTGTGCCTGCCTGTCTGCCGTCCGTCCGTCCGTCCGTCCGTTCTTCTTCTTTCCTTCCTTCCTTCCTTCCGCGAACGTAGGTGCTCCCACCTACACCGTGCGAAAAGTATGTGAAGCTACGATACGACGTTGTAAAGTGTTGTCCAACCGGCGATTCTCTGCCTTCTCAATCTCAATTCGGTACCAATTCAATACACTCGCGACGCAAGGTGGATTCAATCGACAACGACGGCAGCGGCAGTAGCGCCGGTCAGTAGCAGATAGCTGCCGCTGCTGCTGCTGCTGTTACTGCTGTTACTGCTGTTACTGCTGATGATGATGACGATTTCGTTAGTGATCACTCGGTGACGAGGACTCCTCCGACGATGTCACAGATTGCGTGTCGTTCGCTTGTACGCACGCACGCTCGCACGTACGTACGCACCCACGCACGCACGCGACGTGCGACCGCGCGCACCGAGTCGAGTCGTACTGAACCGCCAGTGGCTGTAGAGGGTAAGAGAAGAAGCACGGTTATGAAATAGAACAAGTTGCGCGTACAGTTGATTCGGCGGCGCACGTTCGTGTAGGAAGTATGGCCGTGGATAATAAGTGTAGCCGTGCGCGCGCGCGTACACATGCATACATATACACACACATACACACACCCACACACACACACACACACGCACGCACACACGTACGCACACACGCACACGATATATACAATCGCTTGGAGCAGTCAGCAGACAGGCGTAATCCGTCGTTCCGCCGAATGGAGAATGAAGAATGTAGAATGGAGAGATGCCGGAGACTCTCGACCGTCGACGCTCCTCCGACGACTCCTTTTTCACAGCGGTGACCGGCAACTGCCGAACAACGCCACCAACTGCTATTACTACTCCGTCTCCACTTCCTTCTCCTCGCTACTCGCACGTCTGATGTACGGTGAACTGCACGACGTTTGGAGTAGACGTGTATGTTAGGAGCAGCTCTCAGTAGCATTGGACACGACCGCCATCAGCTGCTCGCTGCTACGTGGAGGTCTGTCTCTCATTTTCCGGTGGAACGAACGCGACCTTACGTCAGGCGTCGACAGTCGCCGGAACGTGGCTCGACATCGCCTTGCGTCACTGTCGCTGCTATCGTTACTCCTAACTCTGGCTACTTGCGGTCTGCCGTGTAACGCTGACGTGTCTTTTACTATTCTCCACTCGGAAAAGTCTCACTCGCGGAAAAGTCTTCACTAGGCTTCGCTTCGCAGTTCGCCACCGCTCCGCTCACTCGTCGCACGCGCGCGCGCAAACACACCACTCCACCGCCCTGACCAAATCTCTCGCTTGTTCGCCACTACCGCACCGTACACCGCACCGCACCGCACCGCACCGCGAACCGTGCTGCTTTTAAGTCAGGGAGGTGGGAGGGGGAGGGAGGGAGATCCCTAATGTTCGTTCGCGATGTTCCGCGAGGTGAATCACACGCGGAGAAAAACGATTTGAATCTCGAGACTGTCACGTCGTACACCGTCGCCCACCTTCACTTATTGAAAATCCGTCAAGTCAAGAGGTGCCCTGCGTGCCTGAAAATAGTAACATGTACTCGGCAATTGTCGGCCGAAGGCGGCCGAATATTGACGGAAGCGCTCGAGCGCGGCAGGTGGCGGTAGCGTCACGCGCACGCCCGGCATGCCACTGGTAGCGACACACCATTGGTCACAGACCACCGACCAATAGCGTATCGGCCGCCAATAACTGACCGCTGCGCTTGCGATCGATTCTTGCCGCCTACAGCCATCGCAAGCAATCGCGCTGAAAGATGAAAATCGCACAAAGGACTCATCTGGCGCGACACATGGACTCGATCGTTATTGACGAATCACGTTGCCGCGTTACGTATACCGTATACTGATGACTGCTCTCTCTCTCTCTCTCTCTCTCTCTCTCTCTCTCCCCCCTCCCCCCTCTCTCCCTCTCCCCCCCCCCTCTCCCACTCTTTCACTTTCTATCTCTTGTAAATTTTTGATACATTAGTTACTTTCCATTTACACAGACTCAGATAATTTTCACTCTTGACGTAATAATTCAGTTGAATGTGCGTTCCTCTTGCATTCTAACAAATAAGATTCAACTGAGTTTTTACCTACAATCTGCACCAAGACCGTGTGCTTTAGTGAGTCTCGTAAACTCACTTTAAAATTGAGGTTATGAACCTGTGTTGTCATGTGATAAATTTTTACCAAAGCAAATAGTGACGTCATTATTCTGAGTTAGGACTTGCGCACAATAAAACAAATATTAGGGACAGGAATAAATATTAAAATTTTAACCTATCAAATGCAATTACATTGGAATATATACTTTCTGATAGATTGAAATCTTAATATTTATTTCTATTCTCAATACAATATTTCCTCCATTGTGCGCAGAACCTTAGAGTTTATCAGAACCATTCCCGTAGTTGCGCAGTAGCAGCGTGAATTTTGATTGGCTGTTCCAGTATATCAGCGCTACTATACGTAGGGAACTGCATTAGGGAACATTTGATTGGTTATTTCCAGTATTGCTATCATCATTATGCGCAATGGTTTACCTTGTATATTTCCATCATATATCAGAGAAGTGACCGACTTATATCTATTATTATGTGTGCGGTTCATTTGGCGCTTTGGAAACATTTGACTGATCAATCAGAAAAAAGAATTTTGATTGAATCAAAAAATGCTCGAAACATTTGCAGTATCAAGTGAAGTCGGTATTGCAAAAGTACTAAAAAATACTAAAAAGAGTATTTAAAATGGCTGCGTTTAGGGGATTCAACAGTTGAGTGAACACTCGTTGCTATCGATGTATTCTTTTAGATCGTATTCATAATCAGGCCTTATATTTAAGGATTCCTAATTTATTTTTAGATACTGTACGAATTATTTCATTGGCTGCTGAGCATCTAAAAATAAATTTAAGAAAGCCTTAAGTACAAGGTTTGACTAAGGGCATTAGAAGGGCATTGAATGATCTAAAAGAATACACCAATAATAGCGTGCGCTCATTTAACTGTTGAGTCCGCTGAACGCATCCAATTCTTACTGACATCGTTTGCAAGACGGACTATGATATCCACCAATCATCCATTAAGCAGCCATTTCTAATACACTAAAATCAGTTTGTGATTGGCGCTAAGTCACGTGATTGCAATGACCAATCAGAACACTTAACACTAGTCGCGTTTCTCTCATAGGACTTTAGTGCAGCCAAGAGAAAATAAGACTGTTCTTTTTAGTTGGACTTTTGCACTATTTCATCTTTTTTTCTTTTCTCTTTAGGAGGAAAGAAGAAGAAGAAAGATGAATTATTTAGATTCAAAAGTTTCAGTCAAAAAGAATTGGGCTAATGCTATGTTTTGAGTCATCTAAAAAATATCCGCGGTACTTTGTCACTAGACATATGACCATCAACACACATCTAGTGACAAAAAACCGCGGATACTTTTTAGATGACCATATATTTAGAATTATTAGTAAATTAATAGTAAAATAAGAAAAAGGAACTTGTTTACGAGTTTAATCGAAGATTGTTGATTATGGAAAAAAAAGAGGAAAGAGCTAATTAACTAATTATAGTTTGAAAATGATCGTTATAGATCGATTACGAACTAAGTAATACATAGTGAACTAACAGTGTAATGAATTTGAATTTAGTGTTATGTCTTTGCGTCATATAGCTCAAAGGTTAGGGTTGAAGCCTAATTTCCCTCGAGGGAATTTAAAATAAAAACTTTAACGATTAATATCTCGGGCCACGGAGCAAAGCGATGCATATTTTTGCCTGTTTCTTTTGTTTCGTGCAAAAACGCGTCGAATAAGTCCAGTTTCATTGATTTTTGAGGTGCGGGAGGGTAGTCTAAATAATTACCAAAATCAACGCATCTTTGAAGTTAAAACAAGCGCTTGCTGTTACCAGTGTCACCACAGTGTTGCATGGCTGTGACAGTTTTCCTAACCTGAATAGCCAACTTTGACGACTAATATCTCTGTTCGCAAGACAGAACAATGCTTTTTTCTGTCAGATTCTTTCGTTATATGCAAAAACATGCCGAACAAGACTAATTTCATTTATTTTTGAGATATGGAGAGCTGAACTGTATATTTAATTAATCTTCCTTATTTTTAAGCTGTCTCAAGGAAAGCGATATCATGAACGTCCTTACACGGTGTCCCGGATTATACTGTGGCAGGGAATTGCTGCCGGATGGAAATTGGAGCAATTGTGGAGCTTGTCCGCGTGGCTTCCGCGCTAACGCCTCATCGGCATGCGAGCCCTGTGAGGACGCGCCAATTTTCTACGATTGGCTGTATCTGGGCTTCATGGTCCTATTAGCTTTGGTGCTGCACTGGTTTTGCATTGACATGGTTGCAATGCGTCGTAATATACCCAAAGAGGTGATCGCCCTTCATCTCTCTGCATTATTCGAAGTAGTCCTGGCGTCCCTCATAGTCCTTCAGCTAACAGATCCCATTGGATCGTTCAGCATTAAGTCATGCAAGGCAAAAAAATTATCGGACTGGTACACACTACTGCATAATCCGAATCCTAATTACGAATCAACTTTACACTGCACACAAGAGGCAATTTATCCATTGTTAGTACAGTTACCTATATATCAAATTAATTTACCTATATGAAAATACAAAGTTTTTGTTAAATCTCTAAACTGTAAAGTATTTTTGTGATATAATGAAGATTAGTAGGACAAACAAAACAATAGATAAAATCTTTATTGATACTTTTATTTTCTAATAAAATAATAAAAGTATCAGCTTAATTAATATTAGATTATAATACTAATGAAAATTTATTAGCTCATCACAGAATACATTATAATTTTCCAAAGTTAAATAAAAACTATTATTTTCCTCAGAACTATTATTTTGATATTGACAAAATATCTTCCAACACATACATATACACACATACACACACAATCTCTAATATATATTACTTTATGATTTTACAGATACACTATGGTTTTTGTCTTCTACGCTTTAGGAATAGTTCTCATGCTGTTAATAAGGCCACTAATAGCTAAGAAATTTTTACCAAAACAAGGAAAGTTTTCTATTTATGCAGCGTTGTACTTCTATCCAATCCTTGCACTGCTCCATGCTGTGGGAGGAGGTCTAATATGTATGTTCTATATGTACACTTTATAGTGCTGTGAAACCATGTGCCAATTGCTAATTATATATTTTTTTGCAGATTACTCCTTCCCTTACATTCTTATTATCCTGTCAGTGCTTTCAAATGCAGCACATTTCGCATTTAAACTGAATCAAACGGTAAAGTCATTGTTGTTAAGTTCCATCTCGGATATAAAGAACGTGATTGTCATTTTGGGCCATTGGTTGCTGCATGGATATGGCGTGATAGCAGTTGCAACTCTTCGGGAAATCGCTATTCATCCCACAATGTTGCTCCTAGTTGTATTACCTGCTCTGTTTTATATTATAACGGCGAAATTCACTGATCCACACAAACTGCATATTGAATAAGTCGCCCAAGCAAAACAATGTATAATTTATATGTACTATCTCCCGCATGTTTAAAATTAACATGATTAGGCTGTGTATTTATTATGTGATAAAAATGAAATTTTGCGGACATACACGTAAAAGCATTATGGGATTCTTTTAATAAAGATTCTCTTTCAATAGTTCGTGAAATTTCGAAAATGTAAATGCCATAGTAAAAAAAAGTTGAAGAGAATGATTGAATTTCTATGAATTTGTAGAGTTTTCTATAAATTTATATCATTTTTTATCGTTGATCTCGCGAGCATCACGATTGGATCAGATATGAATCCTATTATATTTTATCAAAATTTATACAAGATTCCTATGAGATTTGATTCAAATCAATAAATTCGTGAACCAGATTCCATATTTAAAACGATGGGATTCTTTTCTATCGTTCTCTATCTTTTTTTTACCAGGGTATAGTATAGAGCCCCTAAAAGAAGTTAGCAATTTTTGTATTTGATGTTTGCTACACACATATATATTTCATTACATGTACGTATTATACATCGAGATACATTTCTTTTGCAATATAATGCACACGAGTATACATAACTGAAGTAAAACATTTTTTTCATGTTATAATTTGTTTCAATATACGAACGAATGAAGCTTTTATACAAGAAATAATTTCGCCCATTTTACTCTGGATTATGACCTAGATTATGACATTAAATACATTCAATCTCTATATATATATGTATTTGTACAGGACATTGAGAGAAATAATAATATAATTTAAGTTTCACAAACGGAAGGTGACAACTTTAGTAGAGGGTGAATATCATATGTTACTATTGGTGCGTTCAGGGAAACTCTATTTAGCGCTATTTCTGGTCGGATTATCTTCATCGTTTATTAGATATAAAACTAGGATAGAATGACAAATAATGTCTCCCTGAACGCGCCTTATGTGATACTTAGGCCGCTATTTCATCTATGCTTTTTTATCGTATGACCAAATTTTTCAAGCCTTTGATTGACTATAAAATAAAGAAATCCAAGGATCTTTCCTGACACATTTGTTATACGACAAAAACGCACGAATGAAATAATAGTATCCTTAGTATTTAGAAATCATGATATTAGTCAATTGATACGAAAAAATACTTCATACTAATTAACTATTATACAAGTATATCAATTACCCATGTCGCTAATTGGCAAATTTGAAATAATATAATCTCAAATGCAAGAATAAAATTTAAGAGTACGTTGAATACATTTTTTATGTCACTTTTAGACGGTTCTAATGATGAAGGCAATTAATAGTAAATAACAGTAGTATTGAACAGGTTATACTTTCTTTCAGCTTCCAGAACCTGAACTTATTTTTCTGGTGACACAAGACTAATAAAATGATGTATAATTTAATACTATTAGCTCATAACCCATTTTAAACGAGGTTTTTTCACATTTTTAGGATCTCGAGTTTTTATTGTTTTTTAAATTTAAATACAGTTTAATTTTATATAATCTTTTTGACATACAATTTTATTTCTATCTCGTATATTGAAGCAAAACACAATCATATATAGCTGATTGCTTTCATAATTTAAATTATCTTTTGGATTGATTTAATTAAATTGGATTGATTATGATTCTTCTTTCGGTACAAATGTTAAAACCAATGTGCTTTTTGGCGATATGGGTATAGCATCCGACGGCAGTTTCATCCTACAAAAGCGAATAAGTTCCGGTATTACAATGAATTACTTATTGAACAGATAAAATAATAAAATAGATTTTTACAAATTTTTAAGATTCTTACTTCATAACTTTCGTATTTTGAATGTAGTTGGGACTATGCGCAACTACGCTGACTTCCTCCGATATCCGCGGTATTCCGGATAAATCTATAATGGCTTGTTCTTCCCCAGTCTGATACGCTACGAGATATCCAGGATTGCCGCTTTTTAGCCTATAAATTTAATTTACATATTTATTATACTTTCGTATTTTGATCAAGTATAGGAAAATATCGAAGAATATATATAATATAAAATATAAATTATATAAAATCATGTATACTGCTGACCAAAAATTTAAGACTGATCGGTATTCATAGTCCGTTCTTATTTAAAAACTGTCTTAAGTAACGTCTAAGATGCTAATACGGCCTTCCGATTGATTTGTAACATCTTAAGTATATAAGACGGTATTAAATATAAGAATCGATTATGAACGGATTATACCGATCTATGATCTAATTTACATCGTGTTTCACTTAATTGTTTAAATGACAACAATTCACCTAATTATTTAAATGAGATGTGTAAGGTTTCAAATGATGCAGAAAAGCAAGGCACACATGTTTAAAAAAAAAAAGAAAGTCCTTTAGGTCGATTTTTATGGAAAATACATCTTAAAAATCAATGCTGATAGTGTAATATACGGGAACTCAAATGTTTAACGAGCTGTCTGTACGAGTTCCCATTGTCCGATCAAGCTGAAATGTGACAGAAATTACTTTTTTATGGATTGGAATCATTCTAAAGGGTGCCGCGGAAAAAATTTGAAAGTCGAAAAAATGGACTATAATAAATAAATAAATAAATAAATAAATATATATATATATATATATATATATATATATATATATATATATATATAATCAATGGCTATACGCTACCGACAAAATGTATAATATATATGAGATGTATATATCACACCTCGTATATATACACACCTTTAACTTTTGCCTGTTGTGTGGATAGTCTTAAACATTTTGTCGGTAGTGTATAGCCATTGATTAGTTTTATTATATTCTTACAGTCAAGTTTTTATAGCAAAGTGTAATTGCGATATGTTAATATTGTGTGAACTCACCAACTTCTGTATCGCATATAAGGAAGCGTGGAACAAAGAAAGTCTTTAATTAGTCTATTATAATATATTTATTATGTGAGCAAAGCACTTTTGTTAGCTCGCATTTTTAAGTCTATTCAATATAAAAAATGCTGAAGTTTTATCCGTCTGTTATGAAGTTGTACAATCGTATAGTTGTACTACTCAATATAAGACACAAATTAAACAAAAATGTCGCTAAAAGCACAGTGAGAATACGGATCAAGATGTTTAAAAATTCAAACACAATGAATGGAATAAGAAATAATAAATAAGAAATAACAGATTTCAACCTACTGGAAACTAGATAACTGGAATACACCGGATTTCTCAGATTTCAATCTGTTATTTCTTGTTCTTTATTTCTTTCACTGTGTCTGAGTTTAATAAGAGTAACTCAATATAAGTCAATTGTATTATGTATGTTACATGAAGACAAATTTGATTATTCAATTAAAACCTATTTCTTTTGTTCTTTTTGAGTATAAAATGTATAACTCTACTCTTTCGTACGTATAAATAAAATTTAAAAAAAATTAAAAAACAACATTGAAACAATTAGAGTCTTCAAGGTTCCAGTCGATAGTTAATAATATATATACTGTTGCTCATAATGCTTCTAAAAATGGTTTGCGAATATAATATTTAACTTTCATTCATTTGTATTTCGATTTGATTAAAATGTATGTAAATTCTTAAACATGATTACCGCACACATATATTAATTTTTAAATAAATTGTTAAATTTAAAGAAAAATTATTTACCTCGTATATACGAAGACTGTCCCGTTTACTATTCTGAGCGTCATATGTCCGTGGAGGAACGTTAGACCACTTCGGGCACTTGACAAAGTTGCAAAAGCATCCTTCGCGGACATGACATCATCCATTCGAAGAATTGGTGTACCCGGTAATAACATGGTCATTAACACGATACTATCGGCGACTTCTTTAGGCATGCGTTGCCTCAAGGAAAGCTGTTTGCCATTCACCTGCGATTGACATGTGTTGCCTCAATAATTCGAAGTAAATTTTACATTCTCTCTCTCTCTCACGCGCGCGCGCGCACACGCACACACATATACGTATATTCAATCCAACTTGAAATTATACAATAAAGATTACAAATATCTTTAAAATTATGTGATAAAATTTATCTTGTTATTTTTAACTTACGTTCCACGCAGGCCATGATGTAACCGCAAGCCATTGTAATATGCTCTTACGCAGATCCGTCGCGTTTATGCTCGCATTGGCAGTAGTGAGAAAATGTGAACTCTGCGGTAGATCAATCGTTGTCTTATCGTTATAAACTTGCAAAATATCTGCACGGATATCATCTTGCAACGCAAATAATCTATAAATACAACATCACGTTAGTAAAATATTGATGATATGTCTAATTACAAAATTAAGAACAAGCATACCCTTTGCCAGCGGTTTCATTACGAACGATCTCTTGCCATTTTGACAATATTGCAGCGTTTTCTGAACGATCGCGTGTATAAATGTGTACCAGGGATTGGTAATTGTTCGGTTCAACAGGAAGAATACTTCTGAATTCGTCATGCAGATCCGGATCTTCCGTTAAATATTGCGTGTTTGCCAAACGAAAACCACTAATGCCTAATTTAAGCCAATGAGTAAAGATATCCTTCAAAATAAATAAGACATAAGATATAAATCAAGGCATGGTAAATTGATCGATTAAAATAGAACGCGAAAAAACCTACTCCAAATTCTGCCACCACTGCTGGATTGTTATAATTCAAGTCAGGTTGCGATTTATTAAATTGATGAAGATAATATTGGCCCCTTTGTTCATTCCATTCCCATGCGGATTCACCATATATACTTAACTGTAAAAGCATATTTTAAGTTAATATGCGTTATTCTCTTTCTATGTCAGAGAATTACGTTGTCAAAGAGAAGCTTAACTAACCCAATTATTCGGAGGGCGTCTTTCTTTTCCGCTGTTAGAGCTAGTTATTCCATCAGCCCAGACATAATAGGACGTGAATGGATCCTGCCTTTTTACAGATTGTTTAAACCACGGATGATCAACGGAGGAATGGTTAGGATCTAACTCCAAGAAGATTTGTTGATCTTTTTCCTTTGCTATCTTAATAAGATTTCCCAAATCGCTGATGTTTCCTAATTCTGGTTTGATGGCTTTAAAATCTATGACCTCTCCTACCATGAAAAAATAAAAATATTAATATAATTAAGATTACAATTAATATATTTTAGGAAGATAAAAATGTGACTTTTGAGTGTATATATACCCTTTGCGCTTTCCTTCACCAGAGATGAGAGAGAAATAGCTCTAATATGTTGGTTTTTCAAATCGTTCAGTGTATGTTCCAATTCTGTCAAGTCATTGTTAAAAACATCTGAGACATCTAGCTCAACAATTGCGCTCTCCTCCCACAGTTTTTTCGGTTCGGGAGCAGAACACTTTGGCGCCATTACAATGATGGCTATGGCACCAGCTAACATAGCTGCCCATATCAACCAAAAGAAAATGAACAAGGCCCATCTCAATCTGACCCAGAACGGATCGTTTGCAAATTTCATCAATTCTTCTTTTCCCATTCCAGAGAACACTGTCTTCACGATCTCAATATCGATTTTGGCGTCGCCATTCTCCGAGATAAATTTCACCTATCAAAGAAGCGTATGTATATTATGAACTAACTCAAAAGAGAAAAAAAAATTATGATATAATTATAAATATATTAAAAGAAAATTTATGATATAATTATCAATATATCAGGCTAACGTAATTGATTTTTAAAATATTAAAGAGCTGATTCTTAAAATTTTAAGTATAAATATAACAAACAAAAATATATACAATAATAAATATTTAGATTGTTTGCGTGATATTTCGCGTTGTTTGAAATTTCTAAAAATTATTACTCTTGAAGAAAACTATAATAACTTATCGAATTAGGTCTTGCGAATATCACAAACACGTATTCACACAAAACGTATTTATTGGTTGGCGCGTTCGGTAACGGAATTTCTATGCTTCTAAATTGTCGTATCATTTGTGTTCCGAGTACTCTCGAATATTCCGCATAGGACTTAAGCTGGGTTATTCGATTTTTCGATAAACTTCAGCTGTTTTATTCTCTTACTCTCTTATGCTCTTACTCTTTTACACTCTTTTATCTAATAGGTAAATTACAGCATAATTTATCTGAAGATGAAACAACCGACCCTTATTGGAGCACACTATCAATGATTTGGCCGTCTTCGGTCGTGCGCGTGATGCTCCTCATTTTACATTGTGCATCTATATTAGCGCTTTACATTTACATATAAATGGTGTTTTCCAGTTATTATTAGTGCGCTGAAGGCTAGAATTGTAAAGTATTGTCAGACACAGTGTAACATAGTGAATTATTACATCCTTGTTGTTTGCCTACTTTAAACAAGGATGAAAGACTCACTGTGTTATACAGTATTTGACTGTGTCCTTACTGGAAAGTACCCAATACCTTACAATTCTAGCCTTCATCTTCAGCATTAATAAAAATCATTACAAATCAGAATTATTACAAATTACATTTCATAGTATTTTTAACTATATGTATTTTCCCATAATCAATTGGTACGCTGAATGGTCTCAAAAGATTAAGACCTTTAAATGTAATAACAATTATTTAAAACATGAAACAATTTTTTTAAAAACTTATGGGAAAAAGATATGAAGAATAAACCCAGATCCTCATACAAACAACAACGCTTTGACATCGGACTCTGACTGGTGAAAAGTCACATGTGAGGATAAAGTTTACCCCCCTCCCCCCTCCCATCACCCATTTTTCACCAATCAGCGTTTCAAAGCGCTATTGTCCATATGAAGATCCGGGTTAATTTTAAAAGTACGCAGAGGGAGTAGAGAATTTTCTTAAGGGGATGTTGGATCAAATTATCTAGCCATTACAGCTCTATAAAAATCTCTGAATTGATTAACGGAATAGACTAACTTGGAGCGTCTTGTCTGCGTCAAGTGCAGGAGGCGCAAAATTTATCCCAATTTTTCCAGATAAAGTTTGAACGCCTTGATTCACAGTGAATAACAGAACGCAACCATAATAGAATGTTTGATACAGTTTTTTAAGATTAATTTGGGAAATTTGGGGGGATTATTAATATTTCAGATTGATTGCGTTGAAAGTCCGACAATCATATCAGCATGCAATTATCATTTCTGAAATTAATTCATTTATATAGTTCAACATCTTAACATTTAGACCAATAGAGGCGCTTCGTAATGTTATTTAAACGGTCTTGTTTCCAATCTTACTGCATAATAGGATGTTTGATATTGAAATACTATATTCCTGACAAAGGTCAATATTTTCTTTGCCATTTTATGCGATGCTTAGTTTTTAGATTATCAATAGTGAAATATGGAACAAGTACAGAAGATAAGTAGAGATGGCCCAATAAATGACACGAGTACTGAAGGATGAGTTTGCTACGATCAGTTGCTTATTACACGCATATTATACATATACGCGAAATGAGAGAGGGAAAGGAAGGGAGGGGTAATTATTCAGAACATCCCCGCCACTTCAATTTTGATTAGGCTCATTTGACGCGTTTTTGAAACGAAAGAATCTAGCAGAAAAAAGTGTCGTGATGTCGCTCCATAAACTGATATCAATCGTTAAAATTGATAACTGTTTAAGTTAAGAAAACTGTTACAGCCATGAAAAAAGATCTTTCTCTGTTCTTGTCATTCGTGAAAAGTTGTACTCTCGTGTGGAATTATTCGTGGGTTTTCAATTTGACACGCAAAGCAAGATTTAATTTTAAAAAATTGCCTTTGGTTTTACGGAAGAAGTGGGACGAAAAACCTTCACACATACATGTATTTTACGACGATTGCGGAAAATTTCGTATCTCTTGCCAGTACGGGGAGGAGAGAGGAGGAAAAGAGGAAATGGAGGCATCCTAAAGTATATATGTATGTACATATATGTAAGATAAGAAGAGTTCTAAAGAATCACAAGATCGTCCTTGGCGGACGCATCTTGGCTCGGGTGCTTTTATTTTGTATATTTTTTAAAGCGTTGCCGACTTAGAGCGATGCCTTGATAAACATATAGCTGTCCTGCAGTTTTGAACAATCCGTCCGTTCATCCTGACATGCGTCTGTGCGGTGTTTCGACATAAACGCAAACGCTCATACCTGTACGAGCTTCGCCATTTTCGCGGACATTGCATCATCTTTTACAACTTCGGGAGGCAGGAGTCTTTGTGCAATCGTTTTATGATTGTCTGTCGAAATAGAATCATTCTTCTAAATTAAAAGTATAATCCAATCAGCGCGAAGAAAACTTACAACAGTTCTAGAAAATTCTGCTGAACGCAGTCATTAATATAAGAATATATATGCGAAGGATTCCCGCACCGCTGCCTCCGCAAAATCAAAGTCAATTTTTTAAAAATCTCGCTTTGCGTGCCAAATTGAAAACTCACCGATGATTCCACACGAGTGCATCTTTTCACACATAGACTACGTTCGCTTAGACGTTTATAGCGCTTGTGAGCAATCAATTGTCCTTGTTTAATATTTAATAAACAAGGATGAAACTTAAAATATTGTAAGCGCCAAAGCGAACCCAGCAAGAATAGAAAAGGGTCTTTTTAATGACCAAGATAGATTTCCTAACGTGAAGTCAACTTTAATGATTAATATCTTGGTTCAAGAGGCAGAGCGACTTTTTTTCTGTCAGGTTCTTTCATTTCTTACAAAAACGCGTCGGACCAAATTTCATAAAAATTGAAGCAGATGGAGATATTCTAAATAATTACCAGATTAGAATCTCAGAAATCGAAACCATAGAAGCGAGACGATCGACACGAAGGAGATTCTCACCTCGGTGGTCTTCTCATCCTTCTCAGTCGCGATCTTCGCGGTGCTGTCCTCCTTAAGCATCCGCTCCTGTACATCCTGATCCAAATCCTCGCTATTCCGTTTGCCCATGATGACTGATGATAATACAACTGATATTCTTTTTATTACTATTGCGCTGTGCCACGCTACGCTGATGCTGTTGAGCGTTACTGATCGTTACTGATCGACGTTTTCTCTTTCTTTTTGCTCCTTTAAGCAATAGCCTCGCCCTGCTCCAGCTGCTCGTCCGACGCCCAGTCGATCCAGTCTCAATGACGAAACTAACTCCCTCAATGGTGATCTGGAGTACTAATTATCGGTAATCGGTCAAACTAGGTCGAACCGTGTATAGTGTAGTACCTCCATACATCTTATATTGACTGACAATACATCCGTACTTCTCTTTTTGTTTCTGAATCCGAAAGTGCAGCAGAACTAACCTCATGTAACCCACAATTTAATAAGAAATTAAAATTGTGGAGATTTCAAGCAACGCAAACAAATCTTATATTCTTAATTTAGAGATTTGTTCTGTCAGCGAGTTGTACATGACATATGTTGAACGGAGTATTGTAGAACACGAAGCTTTCCTTATTCCTTTGATCAAATCAAATATATGCCAAATGATTCAAATGACCAGGCTGGAAACCAACGTCAAGCGACTTCTAACACGCTGCGAATTAATAGCGAAGGATGATCCACATCAAGACTGGAAGCTCGAAAAAGTGCGCGAGCTAGTTCTTATTTCTACGTTTCTATCATGTTTTTATTTAATATACGCTACAGTTAAAGTTTTATAATGAGTATAACTTCATACAATTGCTTAAAGTAAAAAGTAACATCGAGATAATTTCATTAAATAATTGTAGTATTTATTATAGTTTTTATGAATCAATGTATATGCTTATATATATATGTTGAGTTATTTATATATATATATAATTGATTTTTTTTTTAGAAAAATTATTTATAGAAAATATGGGAATTTATGTATAATCTATAATAGCACACACATAAAATTTGCTACATACATAGTATTTATATTGCACTATGAATATTTACTGATTATATAAGTTTTGTTCATGTAAATTCTTTGTTTCAGTATATACTTTCTCTAGATGACATGATGAACAAACTGCAGACTTCACCAAAGTAATATAATTTTAGTTGTAAAATATAATACAATATATATTATTTATTATTAATACTTACGTATTAGAATATAATATATACATAATGTGACCAGATGATTCAAATGATTTCAACAGGACAGTCTGCTTTTGGAATGTTTGTTCCTCATTAAATATATTAAGTATCTCGATTTTAGCAAAAAGTAGCAAATATATTTTATTCAAAAATATTTTATAAATCTTTTCAAATATGAAATACAATATAAATCGCTTCCAAAAAGTATTTCAGCAGTTGAATGAATTTTTTTCTGAAATAAATAAAATGTGGACAATGAAAAAATTCAACTTTGAGTTTATTTTTTAAAAGCAATATTAATAACAAGAATTAATTATTATTTCAGTTGAGAGAATTTTTTTATATAGATATTTCTTAAGGATTTATTAATCTTGTTAAAGCAGATAATTTTAAATCATAATTACAAATAATTGCATTATTTTTTTAAAATAAGTTGTTATTAATATATTTATCTTTACACCTATATATTTTTTCTCCCCCTTCCTGCTTAATAACATTCCTACTTTAGATTCAAAAATATCTGGTCACATTAAATATGCAGAATGTCCTCAAACTTGATAATAATTAATAGCAAACTCTTCTGTAGATGTAACTTAACGACAGTTGTTAATATGTATTAAACGAGTTATTGAGTGATAATAACATTGATATTAAGAGTTATAAAATAAGTCTACAGATTATTTCGAAACGAAAAATGTCGAAGTTACAATAATTTTTAAACAAGAAATGTTTAAAGTTGATCATTGAAATTGTGCAAAATTCACACATTCAGATGTGATACATCATTCAGATGTTCCTAAATATCAGTCTTATTCTTGATACTGTAATTTTCTGCAGATTGTTCTTGTAACTGCTTTTTAATTTGATTATATTCGTACACAAGTTATTAAGTAAACGTTGAATATTTTGGTAATAACAGAATAAATCTCAAGTATCACTATTGAAAAAAATGATACACATCAAACTTCTTCCCTTTTAATTGATTTATGATTCTGATCGAACTGTCAAAGATATCACATATAAATTATAATTCACACTTTCACCGTGCTATGTCTATACATTTGAATTTCTATAATTGGACTGACCTTCGTAAGAAGGCAAGTGACATTTTTTAAGAATAAGATAATTTCAATGATAAACTTTAAATATTTCTTATTTTAAAACTGTTAGCCTCAAGATTTTCATTTTAAAATAACTTGGGGATTTTACTGTTAACTGCACTTGTGTAAAATCTAAGACAACCTGTACATTTTTAAAATTATGTCTAATTATTATTATATTCACAATATTAAAGATGTTTGTGTAGCATTAAAAAATTGAATTTATAGTAAACCATCCAAGGATACCATGATGGGCTACATTAAGCGGATAAATTTTCTAAAAGGAGTCATAAACGCAATGAAATTGTCAAATCCAGTGGAGAGAGTGGTTGCTGCACAATTGTTATCGAAAAATTCAGTATCCACTAACAATTCCGCCAGTACAAATATTACAACGCAAATACATCAGAAGACTGTCGCTAAATACAATCGGGAATTACGGGCGGAATTATTTCATAGCAACAGAGGTAACTTATATACACCTCATGCTAGGCCAATTTTAAGTAACTTGACTACGCTATGTAGCTCACCGATGACCCATGGCATGTTTTTATTTGTTATGTTTGTTATATTTGTTATATTTGTTAACCCTCCGTGAACCAGGTGGAAAATCAACATGGATTATATGTGAATATCTCATGCCCCATGCTGTATTTTATTATAAATATACTATAATTTAGTATTGGTAACTTTTCGGTTGCATGAAACCGGCAACATGCGCGCGGTACTTTTTAAAAAGTTATAGAAATTTATCTTGCTGGGATATGTTACACCCTGGCGGAGGGTTAAATAACATGTATTTCATAATGGTTAAAAAAAAATTACAAAAATTATTATAAAAAAGAAGGCTTAATATACCAATATACATATATCACAATTACATATCTATTATATAAAAAAAATTATTTTATAACTGTTCTTTCCGTTTATAATGAAAATATCAAACAAGGGTACAATCAGATTCCTACCTGAGTGCCACTTAAATGTTATTTTATCCTTTAACATTCAGTAAATAACAAGGATAGAAATGATATATAGATGACACTTGTCAGATGAGAATCTGAACATAACTCAACCTGAACAGAAAGTCTACCATACATCATTGGTATAGAATGCAGTATAGAATGTGTTAATTATAAAACTAAGATGGATTTTTACATATAATTCTCGACATTAAATCTCATTATATGGTACAGAAGCAAATAAGGATGGTGTACGACAGAGATTATCGAGCTCTAATATCAAAGATGAAGATCTGGATGCTATTTTGAAGTATAATCGTAATATTCAAGAGAAGATCGCTGAGAATATGCTCTCCATGACCAGCACTATGAAAGAACATGCATTAGCGGCTAGTGCTATCATAAAAAAGGATATCGGTATGCTGGAAATGTCTGACAAATTGACTGATGTAAATTCTATAAATTTAAAAAAGGAATCCCTGAAGTTAGAAGAGCACACGAACTCAAAATGGAGATGCTGGGTATGGCTTATGATAGCTTTCGTTCTGATTGTATTTTTTAGTGAGTATTTCATATGTTAATTATATAAATGTTTTTTAGAGACAATGTATTATACTGTTGCCAGTAGGTTATAAAAATATTAATAGTTGAATTATCATTTAATAATCATTTTGTATTAATATTTTTATGTATTTCAGACATGGTATTATTTATGAAAGTGACACGGAAAAAGATTTAGGTAATTTTCTATATTGAGGTGTTATCAATCGCGATTGAAATGAATGGCTACGTTACAATGCATCTGACTATATGAGTCATTGCTGATATTATGATGATAGAATTGTATAGCCATAAGTGTGCTTGTAAAAACATCTGTGCCACCTAAAACCACTTGAAAATCTGGTAAATATATTACAAAATAGCGATACATCAATTTACTCCATTCAACATCATTATATGTAATTTAGTTTGTTATGCACAATTTGATAATCATGTCCAAATATTTCTTCAAACATTCCTTGTTTCTAATGATTGTAAATGATGGAATTTGACCCTATATATGTATATACACATGAATCTTTAGGTATTGTCCATGTATTACATAGATCGTTTATTTATGCATAGTAATTTGTTATTTTTGTTATAAACTCAATAAAATTCTACTATGTATATATTTAAGATATATATATATATGCACCTGTTGAATATCCACAGAATAGAAGCGTGACGACTATCCTTCCATATGGATAGTCTGCACTTTTATCCTGTGGATGCAGCACGTTCACTTTCGACAATACGATTTTATAGACAGTGTCAGAAAATGAATGTACTTACAGGCAGTAGTGTACGAGCGATTTCAACGGTAACAGGAAAAAGGCCGGCATAGTCTTTCAGGTTTCTCTCTGCTCCAATGATAATGACTTTCTTAAAACGATTACTTTACGAATATTCAAGTGATTTATAAAAAAAAATATAACAAAGTCATATGAAAATTATATATATATATATATATTAGGTCATTTAAAAAGTACCCGCGGTTTTTTGTTCAATTTTTGAATGAAAAAACCGCGGATACTTTTTAAATGACCAATATATCAATAATTACTGTACTGATTGTACAAGTTGCATGATATAGAAAAAGTAAATTTAAAGAAATATAGACTTGAAATAGTTGAAATATATGACAAAAGATTTTTGCAAAAAAAATAACAGAGTAGAATATCCTTTTAAATTAGTTAAAACTCATTTTTTAAATTGTTTTACATAAATAACTATAACGGAAAGTAATAATAATAATAGTGTTATTTTGCTTGTTGTTATATATTATTAATTGAATATTATTGTATTGTAATTATACAATTTTATGAAAAAGAAAAACTTAATATTGTGTTCTATTTTAGCAGTACACAGCGATATACATGTAATTCACTATATGATTTTATCCTTTTTATCCCTTCAAATCTTTTTACTGAACCATCTGTTGAAATCTAATCTCAATAGTAATCGAGCCAAGTGTTCGCCACTAGGTTGCGCACGTACTCTATTCAATGTTTTTGTCAACCAATCCATTACGCTATCGAGTGTTTCGCATAATGTTTTGAGTTCTTCTTTTTCCGTTAAGAGCAAATTACCAACTTCCCACATGGATGCTTGTAAGATGAAATCGTCGCACAGTCGTAGTAAAAGGTGTATCAGCTTGTTCACCTGTTAAAAATATTCATGAATACCAGGATAATAGAGTTCAAAATCAATCAAAGAGATGATGTACGAAAGATGATTCGTCAAACCTGCAACATTTTGCATAAAAAAATGTTTTTGAATTTTATAAATAATTCTAATGAAATTTACGGGATTTTTTTTTCCTGTTCCGCTGCCTAGCAAAAAAGTTTGCGACATAACGTTAGCCAGAAATATCGAATGTGCCTTTTGTATATCTTCAAAATTTCGTGTGTTTTTCATATTCGCTTCCATTATAGCATATTGACTTTCCACCACATCCACTTGTAAATAATACTGCAAGTTATCGACGATAAAAATCAAATTATTTCTTAATTGGATCACGCCGATGTCACTGCGAATATACATTTTGTTATAATAATTTTGGATAGCAAAAATATTATTTATCTTATAATAAATATAAATATATTTACAAGTTTTTGTGATGCATGTGTTCACTCCAGAGATTCCACAACTCTATCTGAGTCTTTTTAACTCTCAACAGGAAGCGAAACAATGTATTATAATCGTTTAACGCTACCGGATTAAACAACAGATGCAGCGGCCAGACAACTTTGTATTTCAATGTGATCATGCCCCATCCGCGTTTCTCTAAAATAAAAAAAATTCGTTCGTCTTATCTTTGAATATTTTAGAAAAATCTTGCAACGCAAATATGCACCATTAGGATCTTGCTTTTCATTATCAAAGAGATCAGTGTCATCCGTGTTGGCGTCCTCGTTCTCAGAAGGTAGTGCAGGCACCACGAAATTAAAGCTGTCGATAGCACTTTCATCGTTTAGATGTATCTTTCTCAGTGCCATTTGAAACGCAAGATTAATGTCTCTGGATGTATGACTTGTTGGCGCCTTATTCAGAATGTGCGTTGTGAGCTTGATTAATTCTAAGAAAAGATCACCGCGTCCCATCAGGAAGAACTCTTTTACCAGCCTGAGTTGTTGCATCAGTTGCGCCTCTTCAACGGCAACATGCCACAAAAGTTCGGTTACGCACTGTTTCAATTCATTGATCGTGCGATCGAACTCAACAATGTTGAAAACTGACTTTGCCTGGAGATTCTGAAGTTTCCTAAAGTACTTATACTCTTTGTCGCCCCATACAGAATTTTCTGTTTTGGGTATCATGCTGAAATCTAAAGACATTTAGTTCTTCATAATAATTGTATATGGCTGCATTTATTTGTTTATAATAATAATAATTATTATAACAAGATACTTTCCTTTTTAGGATTAAAAATTAAAAATTACAATTTTTTTACCTTTTTTCTGTCTGGGATCGTTTCCGAACATAATGACTGTCTGACCGATGGTCAAGATTTTATTTGCCAACGATGGCTTGATGTAAGATGGAAGCATGTCCATCTGTACATTGTAGTCCCACATATCAACATCAATCTTTTTATCATGTATTGATTCACGTGCATCAATGTTATTCTTCCTATCCTCATGCATCAAAGCTTTCTCGCAATCCGGTATTTTTTGTATAAAAAATTCCCTGTGAGGATCTTCTAGATGCCCATATAAGAGCCAGCTTGTTAAATGCTTGTAAAAAACAATATGAACAGAATGGACCATTCTAAAAGCGAATAGATAAATATTATAAGGCAAATAGTGTCAAATTTCATTATAAATCTCTTACAATTCTAGAGTGACGTTGATCTCGGGTATGCCGGTATGCATACGCTGATGTAAGCATTGCAACAATTTACAACCATGGAATTTCTGTGTACGAATCTAAAACGAAAAAAGTTAGTTAATAACATTTTTTTATATCAGCATATAAATTATAATATTTCATAATAATAGTTGTTAGATTCAATATACATTTAATCATAAAAATGCTTTGTGTCACTTTGATTATTCTATACATGATTACGTATAAATTTAAAATCATATACAATATATATTTATTATTTGTTAAAACAAGCAAGATAATATAAAGTTACAAAAAAAAGGAAATTTCTCTAAAGTCTAGATGTAAATGTATCATATAACTCCCTAGAGTTAAAAACATCCCAAATGAAAAAAATATTCTGGACATATGACATAGCAAACATTATAACACAATTGTAATAGAGAAAACATATACATTGATCTGAAAAACAAATTGAATTATACTGAGACCAATTAATGTAAAATATCTTTTTTGAAGAAATGTATAATGACCTCACGAATGATAGAATGTAATACGGAAAATAGACAAGTGTATTTTTCAACACTACATAGAATTAATGACAGCGGAGTATGATTGTCGTTTAAGACTGTATTCTCCAATTCAATTATTTCTTTACGAAATGGCTCTAGTGCTTGATCCATTCCATCGAAAAGAGCATGTATATAAAGACCAGGAGTTACAGATTCTATAAAATACAAAATGGTTAAATTTTGAACATAAGACAATTGCATAAAATATATTTCATCAAATTTCTCATCAAACCTTTTGTATTTTTGCTGTATATAAAATTTCGTATGATGTTACACTTCTTTACAAAATCTAATATTTTATTAAGTAGCGCCTGTTCTCCAGGATGTAAATACTTGTCAAGATCTATGAACTAGAAGAAAGATTGATGAGAAGCACATAAAGATAATATTTAAGGCATCTGTTCACTCACTGTTACAATTGCCACTAGATTGTAACATTAAAACTATCAGAAGCAAGAAAACATATAATAAAATGCAAATTATATTTGAATAGAAATTTTTTTAAATAAAATGACGTTTCCTACCGATAGAATAGACTTATTAAGAGATATAGTAGTTTATCGAAAACTATCTTCTTTCTAGGAAAAATTTAATATTTCTATATATTATTATATAATTTTTGATAGTTTGTCATAACTGTAAACACAGTTCATTTTGTTTTTGATTATACACAAAAAAAAATTAAAGATAAAGATTCGCTCTTTCGAACGCTGTAAACAAAATTTGTTTGTAGTTTTTTAGGACAGGCCATGGAACTTTATAAAGTTTGTATAAAATTTTTAGATTTTACGAATGTTCATTTATGTCCTTATAAATTTATAAAAACTCAATTAGATCGAAATATCAATTACTAATATTGAAAATAGAGACTTGAAGCTTTAAAATGCTTTTTTTAAAAATCTCGTTATAATAATTTTTAACAAAATTTTTCTTGAAACCTGTAATATTTTTGAAGGACAGACTAATGCCCGTATTCATAGTCAGATCTTGTACTTAAAGCTTCCTTAAATTTATCTTTAAATGCTCAGCAGTCAATAAAATAATTCGTAGAGTATCTAAAGATAAATTTAAGGAAGCCTTAAATATAAGGCCTGACTACGAATATGAGTATAAGTGATCCTTCAATTTTTTTTGCGTAATGTATGTATAATTCATTTTAAGATATAAGTTTTATTAATGAAACAAAAAATTGTTGTTTATATCACAGTTTTTATATTTTACAAGACAGTTCTATCAATTCCAAATATTGTTTCATTTATACATATTTTCATATTATTATATTTTGCAAAAATTTTTATTGCGAATCTGTCGCATCTGACGTCATAATTTGAAATAGTAGTGGTGAGTGAACACACTGAACAGGAGAGAGGCTTAAATGTATAATACTCTTCATTGATTAAGATATGTACTCACATCTGTTTCTATTATCTGCGATACGTTGGTTGAACATCCCCAAAGTGACAATAAAATTTCGTGCAACATTTTTTAAATATTAAACATCAAGTAAATGAGAAAAGAGATGTATTAATTCCACATTTAAGGTAATTATTCAGTTTAGCGACGACGGCTCGAAAATCAATGAAACTATATTTATTCGACGCGAAACGAACGAATTTGACGGAAAAAAGCGTCGTTCTGTCTTGCAAATTGAAATATTGATTGTAGAAGTTTGCTAGTTGAGGTTACGAAACCTGTCATATCGATACAAGAGATCTGTTCGCATTGTTTGCACTTTTTGCACTCGGCACTTTCAAGTCAGTTCAAGTTTGTTCGCATTGCATACTTCAACATATTCCAATGGTTACATTCAGCAGAACACAACAGTTTGCAACCGTTTTAAGCCGGTTCTACATTAGTTACAAGCCGATCGCAAGTTTGTGCGACAGCCAATATAAAGCGTTGATTTCAAAATGCAAGTTTCAGATTGGCTGGGGCACAAATTTACAATTAATTGGCTTACAATTAATGTAGAACCGGCTTTATGATTGTCTGAGATAGGACCGTTCTTCTTGATCTAAAAGCATAACCCAATCAGCGCGAAGAAAACTTCCAATAGTTGCAAAATAAACTTTCTGCTGAACGCAGCCAATCACGATGTAGCGAGTCCATTGTAATTGGCTGAAATAGAACCGGGCAATTGTCAATCGTAATCATCAACTCTGATATTTTCTTTATGTAAAAATGTGAAGCTACGACCTTTACAGAATCACAATACTGGCTAGATATTGTATTTTCATCATTCAAAATATCTGGAAAAAAGAAGAAAGTATTCTGGTTAATCAAATGACGACGGAGGAGCATAAACATCTAGCTGACATCGTGAAGGAAACTCATGCTCTATTGCGCGCCGAATATCATCAATATGGTGCCGAAATGGCATGGAAACGCCATTTGGCGCGAAATGATGTTTTACAGGTTACTTTAAATTTTCATTGTTTATAAAGTTAAATTTTGTCAATTCAGAGGGAGTAAACAAATTAGAATATATTTAATTGCATAATTTGGTTTTATTTATAAAATATTATTTCAGAGATATGCTATATCCATGCACAAATTGGCCACTAAGTGCTGGGTGGATAGTAATTCAGATTTGAAAAACGGAACGTTCTGTAGAATAGAATGGATAAAAACACAATGCAAAGAATACTTTTACAATGGTGGTAAAGAGAAATATGATAAGAAAGAACAAGAGATAAACGCTAAAATGACTTTTTTTTCAGCAAAATCGTACGATGAAAGTGCAACGTGCGAGAAAGATCCAAGCCAAGTGAAAAACGGTTTACAAAATTTTTTTGAACAGAGAATATCGCTTTTAGATGTAGGAAGTTGTTACAATCCTATAAGTATTGACAATGCGTTTGATGTAACTGCGATAGATCTAATTCCTACAATAGGAGTCTATCGATGCGATTTTTTGAACATTGTGATCGGAAAGGAGAAAATTCTCTCACGGGACATGCAGGAGATTTGTCAATTACCCACGAATTTCTTTGACTCTGTTGTATTTTCTCTATTGTTGGAATATCTCCCATGTCCAAAACAGAGATATATCTGCTGCAGAAATGCATATGATGTATTAAAGAGTGGTGGCATCCTGATTATTGTGAGTCCAGACTCGAAACACGTTGGTGCAAATGCGAAATTGATGAAATCTTGGAGGTACACGTTGAGCAAAATAGGATTCATGAGAATAAAGTATGAGAAACTGCGTCACATTCACTGCTTGGTGTTCAGAAAGTGCGTGTACAAAGACGTAGCGATACGGTGGTCCAAGTTGCATTGTTTTTTTGAGACTGACAAGAAATATTTGTCCGAGACAAAGATTTTTATTCCGCAGGATTTTCAAACAGTCCGCTCTAAGGAAGAACGAGAGAAATTGGAATATGAGGAAACTGATATAGCGAGTGCTTTTTCTGAATTACCGTTTAATAACGAAGTATTAACATAATATAATAATGTTTATACTTATTTGTATTTTATTAGCAATTTTATTTTTGTCGATGTTAAATAAAACATTTTATGGGTAGCGTCTAAAATTTTAATTTAATTTTAAAATTCTAGATATATACCGAAGTAGCGCAATCCTTTTATCTGAGCCGAAATGTCGACATCTTTTCTGTTGATCGTTCAGCAAGGCCTCTATTTTTGAAAAGTGTATACGAAAAATTTAAGAAAAACTATAGTATGTGTCACATATACTATAGTATTTTTCTAGTTTTTCGTTTGCGATACTTTTCAAGAGTATTATTAGTCAGTTTCACCAACGTTGATCAAGCTTAATCGTGATTAACTGTCAATCGCAATTAGTTGATTCTACTAAACAGCAAACGCGATTGATCAGTCAACGGCCGATTAAGCTAAGTGGCGTTGATGAAATTGGCTTTAGGGACTTTGAATCAACTGTTTGCGGAGCAGATCAGTGAGCGCTCGCTACTTTTGGATGATCTAGAAGAATACACCAATAGCAGCGAGCGCTCACGAATCTGTTCCGCAACAGTTGAGTTTGCTGAAAGCGATTATTGGCTATTTCGACCGCCATTTTCGATCTAATTGTCTGTAGTCCAATAAACTCTTGTAGCGTATTCGATTCGACCTGACTCCGAATCAATGGTCTGTTCGTTTTAGCTGCATTTCTTACACAATTTAACTCTTTTTTTGCAGCTAAACAGGACAAATTGACTCGGAATCGGATCGAGTCACTAATGGCTTCTGCACACTGGACACGGAAACGCTTACCGCGCAGCAAAATGTGATATGGTAGCCAATAAGCTTATAGCTTATAGCTCTTAATGTGTTCATTGGGTATCGCGTCTCCTTTTGCCGCGCGGCAAGTGTTTCTGCGTCCAATATGTAGGAGCCAAAGTGTAGTCGAATTGCCACTACGAATGCTTCGAAACATTTGATTAACCAATCGGAAGAAAGAATTTTACTAATTGACCAATTAAAAAATGCTTCGAAGTATTCATAGGGCAACTCGACTACACCCTAAGGCTGTGATCAAAGTCTCGCTACAAATGCTCGAAGCATTTGATGGACCAATTAAAAGAAATTATTTTATAAACTGATCAATTAAACACTTCAAAGCGTTTGCAGCATCGCGTTGACTGTACCCTAAATCGAATACGCTAATTGCTATTAGTATTATTGGTATATAATATAATTAGCAAGAGTGAAATCACACGTTGCGGAAAAGGGCTGCGGAATAGAGAATGCGTCATTGAAACGACCAATTAGCGCTATTCAGAATAATTTAGAATAACGTTGATTGGTTGCTTCTATTTATTAATAGTGGCTTTATAATGGATGATTGGTAGATTTCATAGTCCGTTTTGGCACCCCAAATGGGTGCCATTTTTAGTACTTTTTCTAGTACTTTTTTTAGTATTTTTGCGATACTGACATAAAGCGGTCGCGCTTCTCTAATAAATAGGATTCTAACTCTAGTATTGATCATCTCATCGGTGTTGTCGATGAGCTTGGACTAAGAAAGTTTTTTCGATCTTTTTGTAATCTTTTCTTGTTATCTCTTGTCGGTGCTGCACGTGGTACGTATAATTTTGACTTTATTTTCAGATTCTCTTTAATAATCCGTTGTATTAGATCATGTATTTTAGGGTTATAATGTGTATTAAATCGTCAAATGTCTCCGCAGTACGATAGTTATGTAAAAAATGATCTTTTTACGTTGGTTAGATACATAACCTGTAAAAAAATTTCAGTTTAAATAGTAAATAATAATTTAATGAAATAAAACTTTATTTTGTTTAAATTATATTTATCATCAAAAATATAAAATACAAAGATATATATATATATATATATGTGTATGTATATGATATATGTGTGTATAGGATAATAGTGAAAAAATGTGCATACTGATTGTTACATAGGAAGTCAAGATGTCGTCTCACTTGAATTGGATGATAATTCGCGACAATAATGCTTTTCTTCTGAAGAAACGCAACATCAACAAACCGTTTTCTACGGTTCGTTAAGTCTACAGTATCTTCTAAAACATTAATAACTTCAACAATATTTCTTGCTATTACATTAATAATTCTTTAGGAGGCTAACAACTTGACAAATCTGAGTAGTTATCGCTACTCTGGTTTGATTCACCGTAAAAGCGTCGGGGTTATTGATACTCCCGACAAAAAGGGTTTCACAGTTGTCTATAAAAAGGCCAAGGCAGTCAACAAGCCTGCCAAAGCTAATGTAAAGAGCACAATGAAGGCAGGAGCTCGTCGTTCTCTACACAAGTTGAAAACTCTACTTAAAAAGAACAAATATCGCGTAGACCTCACCAAGGTATGCAAATTATAGAATCATTATATTAAGTTTATTAATTCTCTGCTTTCACTTCAAATGTACTTCAAATAAAAACTTTAATAAACTTTCTACAATAAGCTATTAAGTAAACTTTAAAGACCATGGTACACAAAAAATTTAAGTTTGTTAGATATTTGCAGTAAGACATAAGCAATAAAGAATCAACATGTTGGATTGGACTTATAGTAATTGGTCAATTCATTTACTGTGCTTAAGTTTTTTGTGCTATTGCTCTAACTCTTATGCTAGAAGAAATTAACCAATCACAGTATATTTTTCTTTTTGTACTTAACTGTAATTGATTGATTCCTTATTACTTGTAACTTAACTTAGGTAATGGTTTCTGGTGAATTGAGTACTTACTTTTATACTACCTTGTATTATTGACAGTTAAAAGATAATTATGTTTTGTATGGCACTCTTAATCAGATTTAATAACATCAGTAGTTATAAAACAGACCAATTACAGTCATTCTATTCTTCAGAAGAATAGCTATAATTGATCAGTTTAATATTATGATCTGATAATAATTGTTTCATTAATTAAATTTTTTTTAATAAAATATTTACTAATTAAAGTTCCTTTCTTATTATGTTTGTTTTTACATAGAACAAATTTGATTTTAATTGTATGTCATTTGCCATTAATATTGTATTAATGCTCCCATTAAAAATGTTTTTTAGGCTGCACTGCGACGGGCCAGTGCCGTACTGCGATCACAGAAACCTCTTCCCACTAAGAAAACACGAACTACTAAAAAGACCGATTAATTTGTATATTTTATTAAATATACATTGTAAATTAAAATATCTATTATGGACGACGTATTCTGTGAAGTAATTGTGCTCTAGCTTAGTAAGATTTTTTGACGTACTATTTACACTTGATTTAAAAAACTTTGCTGTGCACCATTATTTTGCAGATATGTCATATTTTTATAATAAAATAATACACATTTCAACAAAATAAAAATATTTTGAAATAAGCTTTTAATTATATTAGTTGTAAACATCTTTTTAGGTAAGTCTTTTATATCATATAAATTAAAGCTTTTTTTAGATTGCGATGTTTAGGTCTTATATTATGGAATTTTATTTTTAGATTGAAAGGAAAATCGGCGCGTACTTCTGTGATTGATCTGCGAAATCCAATTTTTAATTAGGTAAATTTTATTTATTAAATTTGTTTTTATTTTTTAAATTAATTATATTTATTTAATTTCTTATTTATTATATAATATTTCTCTCGCGTGCATGCATTCACACATGCCAACTTTGATATTGATATGAATGCCATGATTTTCAATTCGTTACTTTTGACTTAAAATTTAATAAAATATATTGCTCAATAACAAGAATTTTTTTGATTGTCAGGTTTGCAATTCTCTGGAAAATCGACAATGAATTGTATGAATTTTTATTTACCATATCTTTTTTTCATTTTGTAATAACAGAAGATTCACCGATACTGACATAGGTTTCCTAAAGAGCTTCTTTATTTCTCAGAAATGAACTATTAACTTTATTAATACTGATGAAAACATGATTTTTGAAAGTAATAATTTATATATTTGTAGCTTATTTCTACACAAAATCAATTAAAAATGAATTCTACAAATGCGAAAATAAAATTTTCACTTTTTTGTAAATTGCGTAGTTTAAATATAATGATTATATTATTAATAATATCACATCGTTTTACATGTTTATAGATTTTTAAATCAATTTTATTTGTTTTTTCTTATTTTTTTTATAATATATTTTTAAATATAGTGTCAATAGTGTAGCCTAATATAGTATCAATATGTAGTCCTATTGAAGTTGAACGCAATCGTGTATTTAAAAAAAACTATCAAAAAGTAATATTCACATTACATGTTTGCGTCCGGCAGAACAGTTCAAGATATGCATATCAATCAATAGAAACCGTTTTCAAAATAAAAAGATTCTAGAAAATCTTATATATTACATTCACTTGTAGATATTTTGTACAGATAATTTCTGAGAAAGAAAAAGAATGAGAATATATGGCATTACTACTTACTGTGTCAATTTTTAGTTCCATTTTGTAAAACGCTCATTTTTGCTTATTTTATGAAAAAGTTAATTACTACAAAATTGCAAACAGTATTATAAAAATTGTTATGTTATCTGATGAAAGACACTTTTTAGTTTGTATTTATGTTTTTGAAGTTTTATTTTTGACTTTTGTTTAAGAAATATCGTTCGTTCGTTAACAAATTGGTATGTCGGTGTTGATAACTTTTTATTTTTATATTTAAATAATGATAAATATCCACCAAATCTAATGAGTGCCATGATTTGTATATTTGCTAACTGATTATCCTTTACATTACTCTGAAATTTTAGATTTAAAAATTCTTAACTAATACAAATTATTTTCATTATTAGGTTGCTAGTTTCAAGCGGAACATATTCATATTCCACGAAGGTATTTATATACTTCACGTTTTAAAAACATTTTGGAGGTACAATTGATGCGTTTGGTTTGGAGTTTTAAGCTCTTGTATCCTTGTTTTACGTCTAACGAAATGTTGATTATAAGTTGTTTAAAGTACATGAGTGTCCAAATTGAACGTAGTCAATATTAGCTAATAGCGGGGAATGGAAAGTTACTTTTTAAAGTATCAAGTTACAGTTACTCGTTATAGTTACCGTTATTTAAGAAAGTAACTTTTCGTTAAAATCGACAACCATCAATCACAGCGGACGGGTCTAGGAACTTTCTAGTCTCATGCGCTATGAGTGGCTCCAATCAAACCGTGTTCAATCATGTGCAAAGTAACGATAAAAGTACTTGTAAAAATCGTTATCATCACTAAAAAAATTAACTTATGTTATTGTTATAGTCACCAAAAAAAAGTGGCACAATTACCAGTAAAGTTACCAAAAAAGTAACTGTTGTAACTGTAACTTCGTTATAAATAACGAGTATTTCCATTAGTTGGCTATATCATTGTATAAAGAGGATGATAATTATATAATCACCAAGATCTATGAGTGCTATGATTTATACGTAGTATTTGCTAACTGATTATCATTTATAATAGTATAAAATTAAAATAAAAAATGGTGTTTAATTAATACAATTGTTTTATTATTTATAGATTGTTCGCGAATTCTAAACGATATAGCATTTGGAGAATGTATAAAGGTATTTATAATTTTTTTATATTACCTTACGTTTTGAATTACATTTTAAATAAAATTATGCCATTGTAATCACTAAAATCTATGAATGCTGTGATATTTTAATTTGCTACTGACTTAATAAATTTTAATAAAAATAATAATAATAATTTTAAATAACTGTTGTGTGTTTCGCGGGTTTTCTACGTGTCTAGATCCATTCTTGGAATGCCAACGTTTCGTGATACTGATCAGGCTGCTCCTCGCCCTGATGAAGTGGACTGCAAGGCTCACGAAACGTTGGCATTCCAAGAATGAATCTAGACATGGAGAAAACCCGCGAAACACAACAGTTATATAGAAAGCACCCGTGGAAGTCTCAAAAATATAGTAATAATTTTATTTAATAACAAACACGGAATTTTCCATTTATTAGGTTTGCTAAATCCTTGGAAATTGTAATGAATCGGCGAAGATTGCGAATAATGTTCATTTGTCATAATTTTTGTTTATTATGTAATGCTATATCATTATATAAAGAGGATGATAGTTTGTGCATCCACCAAGATCTATGAGTGCTATGATTTATCTAGTATTTGCTAACTGATTATCATTTACAATAATATAAAATTCAAATAAAAAATAATATTTAACTAATACGATTGTTTTATTATTTACAGGTCATTCGCCAATTTTAAACGATACAGCATTTGGAAATTGTATAAAGGTATTTATAATTTTTTTTTATATTATCTCGCGTTTTGAATTATATTTTAAATAAAATTATGTCATTGTAATCACCAAGGTCTATGAATGCTGCGCTATTTCAATTTGCTACCGATTTACTAAAAATTTTAATAAAACATATAATAATTTTATTTAATAATAAACACGGAATTTTCCGTTTATTAGATTTGCTAAATCCTTGGAAATTGTAATGAATCGGCAAAGATTGCGAATAATGTTCATTTGTCATAATTTTTGTTTATTATGTAATGCTATATCATTATATAAAGAGGATGCTAGTTTGTGCATCCACCAAGATCTATGAGTGCTATGATTTATCTAGTATTTGCTAACTGATTATCATTTACAATAATATAAAATTCAAATAAAAAATAATATTTAACTAATACGATTGTTTTATTATTTACAGGTCATTCGCCAATTTTAAACGATACAGCATTTGGAAATTGTATAAAGGTATTTATAATTTTTTTTTATATTATCTCGCGTTTTGAATTATATTTTAAATAAAATTATGTCATTGTAATCACCAAGGTCTATGAATGCTGCGCTATTTCAATTTGCTACCGATTTACTAAAAATTTTAATAAAACATATAATAATTTTATTTAATAATAACAAACACGGAATTTTCCGTTTAGATTTGCTAAATCCTTGGAAATTGTAATGAATCGGCAAAGATTGCGAATAATGTTCATTTGTCATAATTTTTGTTTATTATGTAATGCTATATCATTATATAAAGAGGATGCTAGTTTGTGCATCCACCAAGATCTATGAGTGCTATGATTTATCTAGTATTTGCTAACTGATTATCATTTACAATAATATAAAATTCAAATAAAAAATAATATTTAACTAATACGATTGTTTTATTATTTACAGGTCATTCGCCAATTTTAAACCATACAGCATTTGGAAATTGTATAAAGGTATTTATAATTTTTTTTTATATTATCTCGCGTTTTGAATTATATTTTAAATAAAATTATGTCATTGTAATCACCAAGGTCTATGAATGCTGCGTTATTTCAATTTGCTACCGACTTACTAAAAATTTTAATAAAACATATAATAATTTTATTTAATAACAAACACGGAATTTTCCGTTTAGATTTGCTAAATCCTTGGAAATTGTAATGAATCGGCAAAGATTGCGAATAATGTTCATTTGTCATAATTTTTGTTTATTATGTAATGCTATATCATTGTATAAAGAGGATGATAGTTTGTGCATCCACCAAGATCTATGAGTGCTATGATTTATCTAGTATTTGCTAACTGATTATCATTTGACAATAATATAAAATTTAAATAAAAAATAATTTTTAACTAATACGATTGTTTTATTATTTACAGGTCATTCGTAAATTTTAAACGATACCGCATTTGGAGATTGTATGAAGGCATTTATAATTTCTTTTATATTATCTCGCGTTTTGAATTATATTTCAAATAAAATTATGTCATTGTAATCACCAAAATCTACGAACGCTATATTTCAATTTGCTACTAACTTAATAGATTTTGATAAAAAAAAATATAAAATTTTATTTTTAATAAACAATCCCTTTTCTTTGTGATTTGTTTTGAAGATTTAGTATAGACACGAACCATATCTACTTTTGTCGATACGGTTTTATCGATAGTGTATGTAGTTATGTAATTCTCAAACTAAAAACTGGTATACTGGCGATTTCGACAGTAACAGGAAAAAAACCAGCATGGTCTCTCTCAGATTTCTCTCTGTCTCCAATATTTCTATGGTCAATGGTCATGTCCTTTAATCTGTATTAGTGGAAATAGGCATTAAGTGCGTACTCTATAACCTTATCAAATCTTATGGGCCTACTCGTGGCATAGAAAAGATGGAGTAGAGCAAAGATAAGGTTAATTACAGTTCTAATGGCAATTGTTCGTAGTATATAACAATGTACGGCAGTTGGAGGCTTTTTTAAGCTCGCAACTTGTGAGCTAGGCTCATAAGTGGGGACGTCTGTGACGAAGGTTATGGGATAATTGATACCATCACCGAAGTTTCTCACTCGCGAGGAGTATGGGGAACTTTGGGAGTGACATCGTGATATGGTACATCTCATTTTCAACTTTATCAAAAGCATAAATGCAACAGTGGTATTAGTTCTGTTTTTACAGCTGATGCGACAGCGACAAACTAGCTTAATGCATAGAGCCGGTTTCACCAATGCCGATTACTTGATCGGTCGATTAACTTTGTCATCTTAATTTTTAATCTATTCATGGCTAAGACAAAATGTAGTATGAATAGTAAATTAGATTTAGAGATATAAATATATTTTGAGTATCTTTACAAATATGTATTTTGTAAGAATTGTTGTCAAGAAATTAGATTAGAAATAAGTTTTTAGTTTAGAAGTTGGCTTAAATTTAATTAGTGGATTAAATAACTGACATTTATAAAACATAGTTGCCAATGTTTTTCTTATACATTAAATGTTTTTATAATAAACACGTAATTTTTATCAGTACATAATTAAAAAAGAATACATTTGGTAGCTTGTTGCTACTATTTTCAGTCAGTGTCATATTTGGAACCAGTGAAATCATCAAATTGGTCATGAACAATGGAGAGGATATTCTCAAAATATCTACATATAATTGGATTATTCGATTATGTTTGAATTTATTGGGATATGCCACTGTGTTATTGCCAGGTTGTCTTATATACAAATATGTACGCTATATAAAGTACATTCAGAGAGGCGGTAAGTATTGATATGGAAAGAACTAATCAGGGTTGGTATGTAATGTATTATAACTTCATTACCGTTCCAATTTACTTTTAAAATAATGAGTAATGATATTACATTTTCTTATGAGTAATGAAGTTATATTTTTTAGGAATTAATAATGATTTGAATAGTTATTTTTACCATTACCCTTTATTTCTAGCATATAAATCAATTCCGAAAATATTAATTACTTACCATATTTTTTTTTACTGCGAGACCAGAATTTCAACACCTTGTGTACAATATAATCATTGCATAGGACAAATTTTTATTTATAGGAAAAGTCTATTATTGTAATTGACTTGATTTTAATGACAAAAATGAAATAAACCATTGTACATATTTTAATTAAAAAAAACCTTTTTAGTTATAAGAAGCATAAAAATTTTGATTGATCTTTACTGTACTATCATTGTATTTTATTGATGAAAGATATTAAAAATAAAAAAACAAATAGAAATAAGTCAATGAGCCAAATTGGATTTTAATGTTTATTCTGTATTATAAATTGAATGTATAAAATATTTCTTTTAATTCGAATGTTTAAAATATTTTTATTTTCAATAATATAATAATACATTAAGCAGAGAAATTGTTTCAAATTAATTAATGTTGTCATAAGTAGCATATTTTTTTATGCTTATTTATAATGCGTATTTTAAATGGAATTATATGAATTTTTTTACATAATATTTTTTCTTTAATTATTCTACATATAAAAGTATTAAAATAAAATTAAAATAAAAAAATTAATAGTATATGACAGTGTGAGATATTTTAAATTTTATTTAGCGCGTGTGTGTGTTTTTTAAAATATGTTAGAATAGAGTATAAAATATTTCGTCAACTGTTGATTTTTTTATAATTTCACTTCCTTACTTTTTATATGCAGAATAACTGAAAAAATTATTACGTAAAAAAATTCTATAATTTATTAAACATTTTTATTTAAAAAATAAAAATGCTCTTGAAAATTCGTAAAATAATAAGCACGATAAAAATATAAAGCCTATAATATTTGAACAATTTTTCTGATTAATAGTTTATATTTTTTTCTAGTTATGTTTTAATAGAAATATATAGTAATAAATATATAGAAATAAATGTATTATAGAATAATGACAAAAACAGTTTTGTAACATACATTCATCTAGTTTTGAATCTTATTCCTTTATTAAAAGGTGAAATTTTTACATTATTTATTTATATTTACTGTAAAAATTTGTATATGATATTCTATTAATATCAAGAAAAAGTAACGAAAATAGTAATGGCTCGTTAATATTTAAGAGAAGGATCCGATAACACATATCTTAATTGGTCAATTTAAAATAAAATATTCTCATTGATAAAGCAGTGAAAAATTATTAGGCACCTCCTGGCCGATGTGTGCTGACGGGACCTTCCCGTTTATAAATAAAAAGTAACGGTAACGAGTTATTTTTTTTTTAAATGAATGGTAATGAAATTTTATAAAATAAATTTGCCAACTCTGGAATATAATGTCTCAAGGAATATTATAGTAGTTGAGAAGAATATTTATGCAGGGAAAGGTTGTATTCCTAGACTGGTGCATTCATGCTTTGTGGGACACTGTGAGACAGGTTTCTTGGATTCGCCAACTTATGTTCCTAATGCTTCCACTCACATTCAGCGTACTTTTACTCAAGACGCTCTACTATTGATATATTGTTTCCTTGGATTACAAATTAGTTATTTAACTTGGGGCTACCTGCAGGAAAAGATAATGACGCAGGTAGTGGTCAAATTCCATCGACAATAAGAAAATATTTATTAAAAAAATATACATATGTTATTACATTATTAGTGTGATTAATAATTAGTTGTAGTGTAATTACTAACCAGGAAGCAAAGCTTCCTGCTAAGCAAGCTAACTTGTAACGTCGTTGCATTTTTACAATAACGGATTCAGCTGTTATTGTAAAAATGTAATTAAATCAAAATAACACTGTATTCATTTGTACAGGAATACGAAGATGCTTCTGGCAGTAAAGCACGGTTTCAAGATTCGCAATTCCTGGTATTTGTAAATCGCATTCTTGCTTTTCTGATGTCCGGATTATACTTACTTATTCAACGTCAGCCGCAACATAAGACGCCATTGTATAAGTATGCATTTTGTTCTCTATCAAATATCATGAGCAGTTGGTGTCAATATGAAGCTTTGAAATACGTCAGTTTTCCATCACAGGTGAAAAATTATGATTGTATATCTTCTGATGATTTGCTGATTTCTTTATTCATCATAACTTTTTTGTATATCAAAAATTATTTATATGAATGTTTCATATTCGTTCAATTATTCGTTTAGGTTTTAGCTAAAGCCTCTAAAATTATTCCGGTTATGGTTATGGGAAAAATAGTTTCGCATACGTCATATGAATATTATGAATATGTTACTGCGATTCTTATTTCTATCGGAATGACGCTCTTTATGCTGGACAGTTCTGATCATAATAAAAACAGTAATACTTTGTTAAATATACAATGCATTTTAATTACAACCAACATTATATTAATTTTATAAATACTTTCAGATGGAGCGACAACACTTTCTGGTGTTATTTTATTGGGAGGTTACTTATTATTAGATAGTTTCACAAGTACCTGGCAAAATGCACTGTTTATAGATTATGGAGTAACTAGCGTACAAATGATGTGTGCAGTCAATATGTTCTCCTGTTTGCTAACTGCGATGTCTCTGTTTCAACAATCGAGCTTTCCGCTAATTTTTTCTTTCATGACGACGGTAATTAATTTGCAATACTCATGTTAGTTCCTTACATAATATTGCTTACATGAAAGTAGCATTAACAAATTTTATTGTACAGTATCCCAGGTTTATAATCGACTGTTTGCTGATTTCCATTTGTTCTGCAAGCGGCCAATTGTACATTTTTTACACCATTTCGAAATTTGGATCCATTACATTTGTCATTATGATGACCATTCGTCAAGTATATAATTATTTCATATAATATCAATTTATCAAAAAAAGACAAGAGCATAGACAAAGTGTCGGTCGACTATTGTGTCGTAAAACAAAATTATGCCATACCTATGAGCGTAATTACATACATTGCCGAAACGATTACTCATAAATGACGAAGTCGGCCGACACTGTGTTTATCGTGCTCTTGCCCTTAAATCCAGATATATACTATAATCCCGCATTTAATATCTGTTACAGGGCTTGGCAATATTATTGTCATGTTTGATTTATCATCACGAGATTACTGTTATTGGAGTGTTTGGGATATTGTTAGTATTCGGCTCAGTATTTTTACGAATTTATTGCAACAATCGATTACGTGTAATCAGAAGACGCAGAGCCGCAGCGAACAGTATAAAACATTAAAAATTGTATTAGTTAGACGGAATTACGATCTTAATTGTCATAGAAGTAGAATTCTATCAACTGTTTATTATAATTGCTATGGATTAGGGTAGAATTCTGACATAGTAATTAGATATTGACTGTAATTATGGATGCTAAATTTTAATCCTTTATTTATAATTAACATCGCGTCATAATCTCTCTTTCCATATACAGCATATACTATATATCGCGAATGTATATCCAATAGTTTGTGATAGAAATTTCAATCATGAACTTCAAGAAATATTTGTATTTATAAGTTTTGTAGCCAATATACGTCGCGTGTGTAATATATTTGGAAAAATATGTACTTGAAGATACATGTGATCTGACAAAAACAGCATTATATCTTTATGAAAAGAAAATTTGTGTTATGCCATATGTATAAAGGCGTATACACGTATTGTATTATTTATTTGAAAAATATTTATTTTGATATAAATGCATATACACAACAAACACATGCAAGTTTCTTACCATAGATGATTGTATCCAATATAGAAGTAAGTACATATAATTCTTTTCTGTAGGACTTAAGCTACATATTTATCAAAGGAAGATAGAACATTTATGTTTTCATTGGCTATTTTTATTTTGGAAATTATGTTGAGAACGATAAAGATTTTTGAATTTGTAATTTTTTTTTATCATTTTTTTTTAGTTCAAAATGTTATCTAGAGCTATCGGAGTTGTGACAGCATTTGCTACGAAAGCTTTGCGATCTGTATAAATTTGTATTTACGAAATTGGAGACTAATAGATTACACAAAGAAACAATGTCGAGTTCTTGAAATTAGATTTGGACGTCTAACTAAATGTTGCTATGTTGCTATCGTTCTACGAAAATTGATGTATATGTGTGCATATGATGTTACTAGTATATAAAGATGTGTCACATTTTATCAATGAAACAGCGATCTCGGAGTTCAGGCTTTAGGACTGCTTAAAGACTCAAGTAAGTAGCCATTTTAAATCAGAACTAATGCGAATAAAGTTTTGTATATAGTGTACAAGAATATATCCGACAATATATTTTAATAACAAACTTACTTTCCTCAAGGAATTCATGAAATATATAATTTACCATACATGTTTCTCCCTTGAAGACTATTCACAATTTATACTTTCTTCATCTTTTTTTCTTCTGATTGAAAATAATATAAACAGCAGCTGCAAAGAAACAGTCATTCTATTCATCTCAGCACTATTGTTTAAATATGTAACAAAACAAAACGTTCTATCCAATTGAATTAATTTGATGGAAACAAATTATTTCTAGCTTAGTTTCTATAAATCGCTCGCTTTTAGCAACAGTACAATATTCTTTAATGTCCTTTTGGTAAATTACATAAATTTACAGATAATTACTTAAATGAGAATACTTGTTTGGCAGTATTTATAATTTTAATTACACAAGTTGTACAAGTAGCACAAAAATCTTTTTGACAACTAGTCTTTATTTTTCACTTAAAATTTGTGATAAAGCTATTGTACAGAATGGATTTATATTAGGGTTTAGGGAAAATAATCTGATTCTCTTCTGTGCAGGATTATTTTTTACACGTGGAGATATAGATATAATCACAGCAAGAAAAGTCTTATTGTGTATCAAAAACAATGTTGTCAAAAACTTTGATTTCGACTTTGATGAATCGACGATACTCTGAATGGATTATTAAGCGTGACAAGTGTAAAATATAGTCATCGTGCGACTAGAATATCAGAAAGGATAATATTTAGTCATTTCACTGGAGCTGGCGGTCGGTGGATAGCTATAAGGCACATGATCGCAATGACCACTTCGGACGCTAGCAGAACCAGCTGTATACTGCAGAGAATCACCTCCAACCTGAGTACGTAGTACTGCCAGAGCAGGAAGTAGAGCGTCGCTAGCGAGCTGGGAATGGTCAGGACGATCCCGATGAGAATTGGTAGTCCACGCTCAGTTAGATTTCCCTTTCTCCCCAGATAAATCCTGCCGCTCTCCGTCACTATCAAGAAAAACAGAAGCGCGAACTCTGTCAGAGTCTTGCTTGCGCCCGGTGATGGCAAATTCGCAGCCTTGAATAGCCCCATGCCCAGCTCACATACGGCGAACATGCCGAAGTAAAACGAGTTCAGATACATGAGAATTTCGTAGGTGAGTGAGGAGTTCACTACGGTGGGCATTATCACTCTTCAACACTGAAACCTGAATCCTTCCGATCGCTACGGAAGGGAGAATACGGTACGATAGAAACCTTCAAGTTGTTTCTACGAACAGTATGAACAGACACACAGTGATACAGTTGTCCAATACACGGAGTAAAAAGTAAGAGTAAGAAATTGACCAATCACAGTTGATTATTCGTCTCACATTCGACTGTCGGTAACAAGTTGCATTTTTGTAAATCAATAATGAGTAATGATAATGAATTATTTTTTAGGAAAAAGAACGGTAAATTATTTTTATGAGGTAACGTTGCCAACCCTGTCAACACATGTTTTGAGTGAGACTTTCGTTATAATTGAACTCTCTCAAATAAATAAATAAATACACACACACACACACACACACACACACACACACACAGCTTAAAGATTCATTTTTTCTGAAAAAAAAAAAAAGAAACATATATAGTTGTGTATTTGGATTTGATATTTAAGAAGATTCACACGATAGCAAATGTTGATTAAATTTATCATTATAAATTTTGTAAAAAATTATACACTATAAATTTAATATATGTATATATATATCGCCTTTTTTTTAGAAAAAATGAATTGATCTTTCATAAATAGAAAAAAAATCATTCATTCTCCTCTTGGAGTGACAATTCATTGTTTCAAGTTTCATTCAATAATTGAAATAAATTTTTCAACTCTTTACAGTGATAAAATTCACTCCAATAATCTTGAGTGGATTTTCTCCATTCCCATTTTGCAGTAAAATTCACTGCAGGAATAGTGAAATTTCATCTCAACCCAGTAAAATTTGACTATTACAAATTTAGAGTGTAGGTCTTAAAAGTTTTAAGTCTTAAATATATAAGAATCAACTATATATAATACGAATACTGATCACAGAGACGTATTAACATCTTAAGACGGTTTTGAAATAAAAATGGACTTACTAATATATAAGTCGCGTTTTTTGCTTAGGATTAGAATCGTTTCACGATTTCATTCCCAGCAAATGAGAATGGATTAAAATGAATTGAAATGGATTCACATTTTTAGAAATATTGATTCACGAATATTAAAATGAATACTTTTCAATCCTGAATGCATTTTTATTCAATTTTTATAGGAATTGCATGGACCATATCTCTATGCCTTTCAATCTAAAAATAATATTAGTTTTTTCTGTGCAATTGTGAAATTATTGTTCAAAATTTCGAATAGAAAAAAAATGCAATTTTTCAATCCAATTGCATCCAATTGAATCTAATTGAATTCAATTGAATCCGATTAAATCCCAAAAAAAGTATTCGCTATTTAAAATACACATTAGAAAAAAAAATTTCAATCCATTTTAATCTATTCTCGTTTGTTGGGTTCTCAAGTGCGTATACTTATAAGCGTGAAGGGTCTTGGCTACAATTCCGCCAATCTCTCGTAATAATTAAAAAGCGATCGAAGGCGGGAAACGTTGCTCCGAGTCCGCGGTGAATGCGCGCGGTGGCGCGCACTGCGCAGTGCGCAGGACGACGCAGCATCAGCAGTTATTATGTTGGTTATGTTATATCTCCCGTGGCGGCAGCAGTACAGCTAACAGCTTACGTAATATATAGTTGTAGTGCGCGGTGCGCGCATCATTCGCCGCGTTGCAACGCTCGCTGCAGTTCCGTCAGTTCCGTCGAACTCCGGAGGGTTCCGGAAGCATCCGTCCGTCCGTTCGATCCGATTAGTCGATCGGTCGAATTTTTCGCGGGTTAGCAAAGAGGGACACGGACAGGGTTCTCTGCGACTATACATATGCATATACATATATATATATATATATATATTTAGTTTACTCCAGTTTACTCCGCCACTGCTGGACTGTGCTGAACGGAGCCCCACGCTGGGGCTGCTAGCTGAGGACTGACGAAAGAAGAAAGAAAGAGAGAGAGAGAGAGAAAGAAACTGCGCGCGCACGAAAGGGAAGGAAGAGAAAGGAAGAGAGACGGAGGCGGAGTATATAGCTGTAGGTCAAACGCAATCAAACGCAAGTTAGACGGAGACGCAGCGAACCTAGAGAAGAGGTGTATATCAGTGTACGTGTGCTGTGAGGGCAGCGCGAGTACCAACCAGCTGGTTGGCAAGGCAAGGGAGGCCAGTCGGCCAGTCGCCAGTGAGACGCAGTGAGACGCGGCATTTCGCGAGCGCGTGTGTGTTATTTGTTCGTTCGCGCTCACGTATCCTAGTGTTCCTAGTGCGGATTTCTCCACTTGTGTGTGTGTGTATGTGCGTGTGTGTGTGTGTGTATGTGCGTGCGTGCCTGCCGTTTACTATTATCTCCTTTTCCTCCTTCCTGGTTCCATCGTCGTCACTGCACGTACATAACGTACATTCATTCATTCGTTCATTCGTTCGTCTGAAAGTGTGTAACGTCGTGTCTATCTGATCTACTCGCGCCTGGCACCAACCTCGCGTTCTGGGACACGACTCTTGCCCCTATAAAGCGAACATCGTCTGCTCTGCCAGCTCCAGCTCCAGCTCCAGCTCCAGCCGCAGCGCATCTCTCCACCACTAATCGTTCGTCCCATTCGCGCGCGCTCCTTCGTACTATTTTTTCTCTTTCTCTTTCCTCGCCTTTCTAGCGAGTTACCGAGTTCCCCTCCTCCAATCAGAAGGAGGCAAGAAGAGAGAGGGTGCGCGTCCCGTGTACACGGTGTGCACGGTGTACTCCGTACATCACATCTCGCTTCCATTGTGTGTACCGTTGGTGGTCGGTGGCTGGTGGCTGGTGCGCGCCGTTTATTCCGTAACGTAATCTCTCCGTGGCCGTGCGTGTAAACTCGCGCGCGCGCGCGCGCGTGTACAGGTGTGAGTGTGTGTGCGTGTGTGGGTCTGGGCTGGGGGGGGGGTTACGTGCGTGCAACGAGCGAACCAAGATGGCCGCTGATTCAGGAATGGAGACGTGTCCCTCCCCGGAGATTGCGGACTCCAGAAAGCGGCCGCTCGACTGCGATGCGGAGAACGGCGCGACCAAGAGATCACACTACGGATCAGGTATTTTCGATCGGGCGTCGTCGACGCCGCGCGTCAACATCGTTAGCGTCGCCATTGCAAAATTGCGGCAATTTCACTCCTTCGCTCGACGTCACCTACATCAGAACCTGGTTTCTCCTCTCTCCTCTCCTCTCCTCTCCTCTCTTCTCCTCTCTTCTCTTCTCTCACGGATATTCACGCATAGTTCATGCCATAGACGATATCAGATATATACGCGTAGCCGTCCTTCTATCTCCCTATCCATTTCTCTCTCGCCTCTCGTGCGCGTCTTTGACAAATCCTGTCATCTTTGTCGCGCTTTATTGATACAGCGCGAATCCGTTCCCTTTCGTTACCCATTTTGTCAGTGGCTCGTTTTTCATCGGTCGTACGTGTCACGAACACGATGCACAGCGCCTATCGCTTTGCATATCCTCGCCTGTGCCACGTATCTTTCCGCCTGCATCGTCGTCCCGTTTTTCTTCTCTCTCTTTCTCTCTCTCCCTCTCTCCCTCCCCCCTCTCCCTCTCTTTTTCTCTCTCTCTTCCTCCCTCCCTCCTTCTCTCTCTATTCTCGCTCTATCATGTATTCTGCCTTCTCTGATCAACGATATCATGCGTGTGGACATGTCCAAGTTCGACGGCAAATCAACAAAATCAGTCAGCGGGAAACGATGTTATGAATTTTCACGTTCATTCGCGCGACATTCTTCACTTCCTTCTCTCTCTCTCTCTCTCTCTCTCTCTGTCTGCTGTCTGTCTCTCCCTCTCCCCATCTTTCTCCGTCTCTCTTTATTTCTCTCATGCTCTCGCTCTCCTTCAACTACGTGTGGGCGGTCGTGCCTGTGAAGCATCGTTAATGGAGGACCGCTTCCACGGCGGTGGCTGCTCCTACGGTGACTCTGCAACTTTGTCGCGCGAGCATCGTGGAAATAGCGGCGTACATTTCCGCCGCGCCGTTCTCGTCATCGTTGCCGTGTATTATACGCGCGCACCTGTCACAGCAGCATTTGGTGCTGCTCCGTTCCGTGCCGCGTATCCGTAACGCGGTGCCACCGTTGTCGTTGTCGTTGTCGTCATTGTCATCATCATCATCATCATCGTCATCGTCATCGTCATTGTCGTCGTCGTCGTCGTCGTCGTTGTCGTTGTATCGTTGTGGTTGTCATCGTCGAGACCCCGCCCCCGCCACTGCCATCCGCGCACAGAATGACGGCGCCCACTAGGATATGGCGCATCGGTGAGTGAGTTTGTCACGCACGCACGCATCCACCTCGCGTCTCTCTCTGCTTCTCCGAAGAGGTTGATGGGTCAAGGTCGTCGGGCCAGTCAGCCAGCCAGCCAGCCAGCCAGCGAGCGAGCGAGCGAGCGAGGCCGAGCCGAGCCGAGCCGAGCCAACGCGCAGGGCCTCCATCTGTCAAACAGCTGTTTGACTTCCGTACATCCAACTTCCTGCTGTGCATCGTCCCTTTCGCTCCGATCGCATCGATCTTTGTTTGTCTAAAAAAAAAAAGAACAAAGAAAATGAAGTAAAGTTGGTTAATCGAAACTACAACGGGTTTTCACATTTTCGTTAGTTCATGTCGATCTTTTTGCCGTGACGTTCACTTGAAATTAAATGTCCTTAGTCAAAAACTGATTATTGATTTGTTTTGATTATTATAGTTTTTTCTTTATATTTATTAAAGCGTGATTTATATATAATCATTCTCTTTCTCTACCTCTTTTTCCCTCATGTCATGTGATGCGATTACGGTTTAAATGTCAATCTTCCAGCGAAGCTGATTAACTAAAATCATTGTTGCGACTGATTCCTTTTGATCCGACCGTACTGAAATTAGTAACCGTTGTAAATTCGTTTTTCTTTTTATGATATCGAGTGTATGTATCATTCAGAAATAGATATATGTGAGAAAAGATTCCATTAATTCTGAACTGTTCAGGATAATTACTTTTGGCTTGAAATTGAAATATGTCAGTACTTATGTCTATTTCCATTCCTACTTCCATTCTCACTTCATTGTTGTTTTGTCATAGCGCGCTACGCTCGTTCAGGAGGTACGTACGATACTATAAGTTTGAAATTGTTAAGTTTTTCATCTGCGTTAGTTATTATATTTAAAAGTATTTTATTACTATAATAAAATACTTTTATAATATTACTTTTATAATATACTTAGTATAATATTACAAGATGCTATTGTTCATAATATATCCAACTATAAAAATGCATGATTTATACACACACACACACACACACACACACACACACACAATAAATATATACACTTACACATATTGTACATACGTGCACGCACTACATACAGGGTGTTCCAGAATGTTTTAATATTTTGTGTGCTGGTAGAATGGATTAAACTGAGTCCTCTAGCATTTTGCAATTTTCGTAATATTTAACAAAATATTAATTACTAAATATTATCGAATATTGATTTTCAATAAAAATTTTTTACTCAATTTTACAGAAAAACAGCAAGTAACAAAAATTATTTATTTTCTTCTTATAGAAAATAAATAATTCTAAGAATTATTTATTTCTAAGAATATTTCTAAGAATTTTTTATTTCTAAGAATATTTCTAAGAATTTTTTTCGGAATTTTTCATTTTGGTAAAAATAGTTACCAATAAGAAAATGCAGTACTAAAAAAATTGATAAAAAATTCTGAAAAAATTCTTGGAGCTGAAAATTAATCAATTTTTGAATAAAATTTCTATCGGGAGATTACATAATAACCGCGAGTCCCGTGGCTACGCTCCTGCGTAATCCGGCTGCACGCTATCTGATTGAATTCAAGTTTAATTGTTATTAATAACTCAGTAAATAATAGTCAAAAGTGGAAAAGGAACTTTTAGTTCAAAATTTCATTCTCTTTTACTCCAAGAAACATTTATTAAAAATTATGACACCCTGTACACACACACACACACACACACACACACACACACACACAAAATTCCTCTGTATTTTTATAATTAAATGTATATTATGAATAATAGTATTTTATAATATCTTCTGAACGAACATGACAAAACAGCAAGTGAGAAGTAGGAACAATAGTGAACATGAATACCTACAAATTTTAATTTGAAGCTGAAAGTATTCTTTTTGGACAGCTCTACATTAATTGGATGCACTACAATAACTTAAAAAAAACGAAACACTCAAGAAAGCGAATGATTTTGAGTGAAGTTATGATTACACCAAAATCCTTGATGCAATTGTATGATACGTCTTATTCATATTCGATTTTAATGGATATTCAGTTGTGCGCGTTAATCTTTTTTTATAAATAATTTTCCTTGATATATTTTTTTTTAAATTACATGAATTGATATACTTACTGCTGATCACAAAAAATTAATTGCAATCATCTCGATCTTCTTTTAATATAGAGTCATGATTTTGAATGAATAAAAAATCGTAATAAACACGTTTGTTTTTGCATAACGAGATATTTTTTGTTTCTGATTTGCGCATCAATTTAAAATTATCCACGTCATCCGGCTTTGATTTCCCGAAGTTTTCTTTATTGTTTTTAATCGGTCTAAGATCGGTCTGTGACTCATGATTTAAGAAAACAATTTTTTCTTAAATGCATCCCGGAGATTTCTTAACAAGATTTTAGTATATCTATAACGTAGGCCGATATTTATAGTCTGTTCTTATTTCGTCTTAAGTAATCTCAAGCTGCTAATACGGTGCTCTGATCGGTTTGTGTCATCTTAAGACTGTATTTAAGACAGAGAGAAGAATTGATTATGAGTATTGCCCGTAGAATTCCCGGACATAACTTGAAAAAAATTTTATTTTGAACATTTTATTATTAAAAATATTTAGTAAGATAATAAGATCTTTATTGTATACTCATATACATTATAAGCCGTTTCATCGCGGTAAGGTGAAGATTATCGGGTGTGTGAAGCTAGCATCTCACTTGGAAACTCATAAAATATTGAGAGTTTTGAGTTTATTTTCAATAGTTTTATAATTCTATGTAGGTTAAACAAATATAATTCACACAGCAGCAACTTTGTCTAACGAAAACAAAGTTGCCGCTACACGAGAATTATCATAGAACTATCAGAACTCTTTAAAATCCGACAGTGTCTAATTTTTGTTCCCGTAAAGATCATTTTTTTAGGAAGAAAAAATTAAAATATAATTATAATATAATTTGTTTAAAAATTAAAATAATAATGTTAATCGTCAGAACTGACTTTACAACTATGTATCTTTTCAAATCCTACAAGAAAATTTGACTTTGTTAGACAAAGTTGGCGCTGCGCAAAACCTGGTATCTTATTTTGCATTTTCGGTTTCTCGACTTTAATGGCCGTAACTATGTATTTAACTTATATAGAACTATAAAACTATTGAAAATAAACTCAGAACTCTCAATATGAATTTCCATCAAGTGAGGCGCTATTTTCACACACGATTATCAAAACAGTTTTTTTTTAAGTTTTTTATTTCTTTTTATGTATTTAACTTTTTTGTATTTTTTTTAGTTTTTTACTTGTTTTATTTTATTGTAGTGTATTTAAGAAAGATTTGTGATCTAAACACAAGTATGAATAAAACAATGCATACAATATATGCAATGTTAAATAAAAAAATAATACAATATTAAAATAAAATTTGTTAGCATTTTTTGCTGGATTGTTTTTATTGATTTTTTCTGTAATGCTCTTGATAACACCACTCAAGGTCAATAGTTCTATCTTATGTGCTCTTCGAAGTCACAAAACTTTTGTCTGAACATATTTTTCATTGAACACATATTTTCAGAGATAATAGTTTCTATCACTTTAAATGGGTCACATTATATGTAGCGAGTGTTTAAAATAAAGCATTAAAAATTTTTAACTAGGAAACAAAGAGCATTTTAGAGAAAAACATTTTATACAAAAATTTTTGTAAATTCGAGGATATGAGATGATATCATTGGTTTGAGCTTGAGTGGCATTGTCAAGGTTAGAGCAAGGTCACATAGAATTTTTTTTAATAAGACTCCATTTTTTATTACATATTTTTATAGCTTATTTCGAGAGCTTCCCAAAATACTATTATGAAATATTTTTTCAGTGTGTTGAAAAGCTTTTCATTCTGGCATCAAAAATAGGATGTTTCATTTAAAAAAATCGATTTGACCTGATCTTGACAATGCCTTGACACCACCCAAGATCAAACTGATAAGATCTGTAAACAGATCTTTTTATTCCTGACAATTTTTTTGTCTAAAACATTTCTTTCAAAAAGAAATCATTCTTTTGAATAAATCCGGGGTCCCGACTTTTTTTGAACACCCTATCTATATATACACATACATACACACACAGGATTCACATCCCATTTTAAAGGATCCACTCAAATCTCTCAGAAATACTGCGTTAAATCGAAAAATGTTTCAGACAAAAATTTTTTAACTTGGTGGAGAACATAAGATGGTGTTATTGATTTGACCTTTGGTGACGTTATCGAGAGCAAGGGCACTTTAAATTTTTTAAATGGAACTTCCCATTTTTCATTATATGTTCTCGTAGTTTATCTCGAAAGCTTTTGAGAACATTATAACAAATTAATTTTTCATTAAGTACTTTTCGAATTATAAAGACTTGAAAATTACAGTCGACATTAATGTTACTCAAGGTATCCGACTGACTATTAAAACCTCTTAAATTTTGTTCAGGTTCATGACCTGTATAACATTTGTCAAGATCAAGACCATTGGACGTTGTACCTATTTTTATTTTTGCACTGAAGACTCATTTTTACGTAAAGATATATATTTTTATTCATATTTCGCTGCGTAATACACAGGATATTTCAGAATTCACGTACATGAAGCAAGCGCGTGACAACACACGTCGTCAAGTTCATAGTTGTTAACAATGACTGCGTTCAGCAGAGGAAACTAATCAGTGCGCTTAGTGATTTTTTAATATGATTTGTACTTGCTTTTAGTTCTTTGCGGGATCTAAGTATAGGAATCAATCATATTGAAGACTCACCAAGCGCTAATCGATTAGTTTTCTCTGCTGAACGCAGCTAATAAATGCGCGAGTTGTTTACTACAAGCAGCAATGGCAACGCACGAGTGGTGAAAGAAACATTTTCCCGTTCTAGACGATTGTATTTCGTTCGTCTCGCCTCGAGCTTGAGCTTGGCGATAGCTCGGGCGAATACGCGCTCATTTGGATATTCTTAGAAACTAATATCTCATTAACTATTGCGAAAATTACAAAATGATATATAAGATTTTTCAACTCATTGTCAGTTTAGTTTGCTTTATCTATCCATGTTCCATCCACAGTCCAAGTATAAATAGACTGCCGATTTCGCCTCCATGTTTGAAGACAGCGCTGGACAGCGCCATATTTGTGTTCACTCACTCCCATATGTATAAATCACACGGATAATAACGTTGTTTTCATATAAATTCGTACGATGTTCACAGACAAGACGCATACATACATACATATATATGAAACAAGAACAGCTTGGAATTAAGTTTATCTCTGTCTATCATATGAATCAGCAGTCTAGTTATAGAAGTCTGTAGTTTCATCTAATGTCAGATACCCTGTATAAGATATGATTAAAAGAATGGTTTGCTTTGATTTACAGGTGGAGATGGAACGTATCATCTCAAAGTGTTGGTTCCCGGTGTGGCAGCCGGGGCCATTATCGGGAAAGGTGGAGATACAATTGCTCAACTTCAAAAGGATACAGGGGCAAGAGTGAAGATGTCTAAATCGCACGATTTTTATCCGGGTATACATTTAGCTTTCAGTGCACGTGTGTTCTCGCAGCTTCGATAAATTATCGTTTCATTTGTCTATTACAGGAACTACTGAGAGAGTATGCCTTATCACAGGCACCGTAGATGCTATTATGGAGGTCATGGAGTTCATCATGGACAAAATACGCGAGAAGCCTGATCTTACTTCGAAAACTACGGTTGATTTCGACTCTGGTAAAGCCACCGCGGAGAGGGACAAGCAGGTATAAGATTGAAATATTTTTACCGTAACATTTTTCCTGTTTTTTCTTCAAATATTTTATGTACAGGATGTATATTTTTAAAGGAATATGAATTTGTTAATAATTCCTTTTTATATAAAAGTATACAACATTAAAAATAGTTACAGACTTTGAAATAGCTTTTTTTTAAGGTTATGTTTTTTTTATTGTTATGTTTGGAATATCTTCTAAAAATAATCCGAATTTGCTATTCAATATTAAAAATTTTTTGTACTATATTAATATATTATTAATTTTTTCGTGGGAAATAGTAGCACTAATAATATTTACTTAAAAAAATACGAAATTTAACAAATATTGTATGCGCGAATGACAGGTCTGATCTGAATTACTATTTCAGGTTAAAATTTTAGTGCCTAATAGCACTGCAGGGATGATAATAGGAAAAGCTGGGAATTACATTAAACAAATTAAAGAAGAATCTGGCTCGTACGTTCAAATCAGTCAGAAGGCTAAGGACTTGTCCCTTCAGGAGCGATGTATAACGGTGATTGGTGAGAAAGAAAATAATCATAGGGCGTTACATATGATCTTAGCGAAAGTGGCAGATGATCCGCAAAGCGGTACCTGTCTTAACGTCAGTTATGCGGACGTAAGTGGTCCTGTTGCCAATTACAATCCTACAGGCAGCCCGTATGCTCAAGCTCCCACAAGTACTCCCACGTATACATCTACAGCTGGTCTAAATACAGGTTAGTATTTAAATACTTAAAGTTAAAAAGTCTTTTAATAATGCAATATTTTCTATGTGATGAATACATTTGATTGTTGTTATAAGACAGCGTTTTCAATTATAAGATTATTGTCTAATAATTTTCATATACCAGCTTGATCAAAAAGTTTCCGGAAGAGACCACCAAGTGATGCTCTGAGTCAGCTGATTTGAGTTCTTCTTTTTTTTGACTTGAGGTTGCCATCTATCATTGACATTTTCATCAAATTTTATCGCCATAGCTTGACATTTGTAAAAATTACGTCGTCTTGAATACATCTACCTCTGCGCGTGCTTTCGATTTTTTACAGTTTTAAAAATGGAGTTGAATTTGCAACAACGAGTTTGCAACAACGAATACCATCCAACAGCCATCGAATTCACCCGATATGGCTCCCCGCGATTTTTTTCTGTTCGATCGAATCAAAAAGCCTGCGGGGAACGCGTTTTAACAGCCGAAAGGAGGTAATGGAAAAATCGAAGACGACTCTGATGGCTATACCAATAATAGAGTTTCAGAACTGTTTCGAGAGCTGGATCAAGCGCTGGCATAAGTGCGTTGCAGTCGCTGGAGAGTACTTTGAAGGGGACAATATCACTTTTGATGAATAAATTTGTATTTTGAATTTTCTGAATGAATTCCGGAAACTTTTTGATCAAGCTAGTATGTAAGAAGGCTATAAGCACTTTTCCTTAATTTTTATTATTTAATTTCTTCAGTGACATCACTTTTTGATGAATTTTTTTTAGAATTCTGTACATAATTTTTTTAAATTTTTTATAATTTTGATATAATTTTATAAGTTTTTAGAAAATTTCTTAGATTTTTTTGTAATACTTTTTAGAAATGTTGAAAAAGCTTACATTTTTTTTCAGAATTTTTTGTACATTGCTGGAAATTGAAATTGCAACATTTAGAAAGAAATGTCATTTTGGGATCAAATGTTGGAGAGGGCAACGTGAATAAACGATTAAGCACAGTAACTAAGAAATAATAGTCTCGTATCTATATTTCCGGACTGTGTAACTTTACAGCGTAGCTCGAAATTGAACTTTATGTAATATCAGAAATCTTTTTTGTCAGTTGAAACAATTATTAGATACTATTATGACCCAGTTTTTTATGTAGTTAACTTGTGATTAAGTTTAACTTGATATTTTATCCAATGAGCTTCATCTATAATGATGTCATGGATAAAGCCCATTAAATAAAATATCAGGTTAACTACAAGTTTTAACCAGAAAATGAAAAACATCCAACAGTGTGAACATTGTGTTCAACGGGTGTCCAATATCATCCTGTAGTATGCTTTTTAAACTTGTTCCATTTATTCATAAAGCAGAGAAAGTGAAGCTGTAGATATATTTTTCAAAACTGCAGATACCACATACCGCAGCTCTCGTGGGTCAAGGATTACTGGATTTCTGAAACTTTAATAATTTATTTATATAATTCCTATAAATGATATATAGAGTTTCGTTCTAATCAAAAGTCTACTTTTTGATGTTGCATTTTCAATTTTCGATACTATACATGATAATAAAATTTGGTGAATGTTATAAGAAAGAAGTTTATCGAACTTTATTGCCACACGTAAACATATATGAATTTTAAAATATTAAAAAAGTTTTAAGATTTCTATTAGGTGTTGGAATTAATTCGTAGCGTTTTACAAGTGATGGGAAGTACTTTCATTAATGTATTTTTTAATGCTCATGTGAAATAAATAACATTCTTTCATTAAAAACGCTACGAATTAATTCCAACACCTAATATAATTTCCAAAAAGAAAACTTAGCACATGTGTTTAGTTTCTCTTTCTTTAATTCTAACATGTATACAAAGGAAAAATGAATAATAATCATAATATTTTTCATTTTTTGTTCTTTTTTTCTTTATTGTTATAGATTTAAATTGAACGAAATAATTAAACGAAAAATCAAATCACTTTTTTCTAATTTTAACAAATTTATTCCTGAAGGAATTAAATAATTGCTGAAGCGAGAGAAGCTATAAAATTTGCAGTGTTCTCTAATTAAATGAATAAATTATTTTTTTATACATTTTTATGAAGTGATTTAAGATTTTATTTATCGATATATGAACGTGGAAAAGAAATCCTAATCTGTTCACTTCAGTTTATTAATTCAAGCTTGAACATCTATTGGATCTTTTTAACAAAATTCTCATTGTTTTGTCATTTGTAATTAATAAATACGATGATTGCCTATTTTTTTTATAGTGAGTCTCTTAAATGGTGCTGGTTTGAGTCTTAATCTAAATCTGGGCGCGGCTATCACCGCTGGCACGGCGCCGGTGACGACGCAGCTATTGGAACACATAAAATTGAATCTACGTACGACAGGTTTCTCCGAGCCTGCTGCAACGGAGATACTTGCTGCGATCGCGACCCTCGCTAAGTACAATATCCTCGGGATGGGGATCGGGGTGCCGTCGAGTATGAGCTATTTGGGTAATCCGATGGACAGTACGACAACTGCTAACGGCTCGAACAACAACGGCGGTGTGTTCGGACCGATCGGAACCGTTCCTGCGCTCGGGTCTACCTCGCCGACTCCGCGCAACACCCTCGATCGGTACGAGCCGTTTGATCCATTCCGACAGAACAACACCGCCGCCAGTGCGATACACCTGAACAACAATTCATTCGGCCTGGGCACTAACCAGTTATCACTTGTAAGTAAGAGTCCTACACAGGTAGACGCCAACAACAAGGAGACCAAGAAAGTAGACATAGAAATTGCAGAGGTTATAGTGGGAGCTATTCTGGGACCCGGTGGTCGTGCCCTCATTGAGATTCAGCACTTAAGTGGCGCCAACATACAAATCTCTAAGAAGGGCATGTTCGCCCCTGGTACCAGGAACCGCATAGTGACTATCACGGGTTATCCCAATGCAATCAACACTGCTCAGTACTTGATCGAGCAGAGGATCAGTGAAGAGGAGACAAAACGAGCGCGTCAGAATGCCATCGCCAGTATGATCCATTGATTTCAAGTATAGCACTCCTCTTGTTCATCGCCATTATTGAGCTCCGTTGTTCACCTCTTCATATTTTGAGAAAGGAGAACACGCCCGGCCACAACGGTTTTCTTCTTTCTTCTACTTTTGACACAAACCACACACACACACACACACACACACACACACACACACACACACTTCGTCCATCGCCAATTTACCGCCCACTGTCATCTATCGCGCTGCGTTGTCACTATAGCGCTTGCATTGTCACATTATTTACGTTTATACATTCATCATGGCTCGTCAACATTTATCTATTTTTTAAGATAATTATGTATGAATATTATGTATGTTGTACAATATATAACTACTACGATTGTTCTGTGATACACACCTTACGGGGCTTTATCACACACGACACACGCATACTGCATCAGAGTTGCCACAAGTAACTAATTGTTATTGTCTATAGTGTGTTACCGTTGAGGTAATCCACTATATTATTGTTATCGGATTCGGAATATATGATATGACATCTCTTTTAGCCACGCGTTCACATCATACTGACTACTACACGACACCCGGCTTCTTCTCAGACTTTTGTCTAGATAATTACATCTCCAGGTTTTATGAATCCAACGTTATGCATTCACCGTAATTAAAAGATTCATCTTATATAGAATTTAACATTAAAAAATGGCACTGTAAATCTGAATCAATCATTAATTGGTCAACTCAAATGTTGAAACAGGGATTCCATGATCAACATTCTCTGCATTGTCTTTCGAAATAGGAAATACTTAGACTAATAGATTTTTCTTGCTCTTTTGCAAAATATATTATTCACTTCGATCATACCAAATACAGAGTAATATCTTGGCAAAACCAAAGAGTTTATAGATACAGGATGTTTTACAAGGAAAGAGTTACGAGCTTTTAAGACTTAAAATTTTAGGAATTAAAAATTTGTAAACCTTTCTCAAAACATCTCATATAATGCAAAAATATGGCTGGAAATTTAATATATATATATATTCAAAGTATGAGATCTATTCTATATATATATATATATATATATATATACACAAGATGTTAGATGTAACACTGTTCATGGGTAAGTAGAGCGAACTACTGAATCGAAAAATCCTCTACCATTTCACAATAGTTATCGAGATATTAATTTTTTAAAATCGCCGTATTTGCTCGGCCGATCACAAAATGCAGATATGATCGCTAAGCGCAGGAAGATGTTTTCTTTCGCCGCTCAAGCGTGCCAAGGCCATTTGTAGTAAACAACTTCTCGCATGCGTATACAGGATGTTTCCTTTAACTTGATCATTTAAAATATCTTCGTTGTTTTTGATGATACAGGAAAATACTACAGGAAAAAGTTGTTCGATTGGAAGAGACATATATTATGATGACCAAAAAATTTTTCTTAAAATCATAATTTTTGAAATTTCAAGGTCATTGCGATTTTTAAAAATGTAATAGTATATTTTTTCATTAATATAGTAATGTAATTCTTAAAAAAACAAATTCAACCATATATGATATGTTGTCCTTCAGATGACTTTGGACATCTGAATAGATAGCTACGACGGTGGGCGCTTTTATCTCGCCATATTACGCCTGCATTTAGCAATAGGTCGTGCTAATTGGCGATCTTGCATAATTAATATCTTGGTAACAATTGCAAAATTCTTGCAAAATCGTAGAAGACTTTTTGATTCAGTTTAGTCTACTCTACATATCCATGAACGGTGCTTCACCTAATAT